AGCCACAGCACTGAGTTCATTGTATTTTAAGTGGTCTATCTTAACTAATCGGATCCAAGCCCAGGTGGTATGAAAATAATCTTTCTGTATTAAAGACCTTTCGTTCGAATATGGATTTTTCTACCGTGAATTCAATAAAACTGGATGTGGAAAACACATTATTACTCCATGAAAGACTTTCGCTAAATGCGACCTGACTTTCTAGGGAGCCATAGATTTTAATTATTCAAAAAACACCATGTCGCCAGCTGTTGAATACTTAGATTTTCTCAAGAGCTTCAGAGATTTCAAGTCAACACAACCCATTATTTTTGATGAGATTATTATCTCAGTCTATTCTATCGTACCGTTTGACGTGATCCGAACATTCAATGAAGCTGAGACTTCTATTATAATCTTATTCAAGCACTTTGACGCGTAAAAGTAGTAGAAAGTTTTTAGAATAGAGCACGTCTGTGCAGTCATCTGATTAACACTGTTGCTGCCTAATTGCTAGATACAGTAGCTCGGTATCATAACCAAGTCATTCCTCACAGAGTACTAGAGTACGAAACGATAGCTATTCGACACTATAGACAGCACTAAGGAACTGACACGAGTCCGAGCAAAAGTCGAAGGAATTAAAAATGGATATTTCAGCCATCCGCAGCAGAGTTTTGTACTGAATCCGGCAATAATCGTACTATTAACATATTGCAACATTATGGAAATACAACTTTTAGCGCATTGAATGTGCCTTTCGGGGATATGAAGACTGTCTACTCATCTCATTCCCCTGTGGTGTGAGACAATGTTGGCATTTAATTCAGTTCATATGAATTGGATATTGGATTGTCAAAAAGAATTGTAATTTGTGATATACCATCACCCCATCTTCACTCCCCAACGGTTCGGTAGCGTATTTTACGGTATAAAAACAGAATACACTAATATTATGCAACACCTAAATCCTGGACTCACTTTAAAGATCTCGGTTTAACAAATGTTAGAACCTGTATACAAGCGGCAATTTTGCATGTCAAGGGCGTTTATGGTCTACATTGGTCTGTAGTTGTGACATGAAGGCTTGGAAGCTACGTAAGTAGTACGCATTTTTAGCTGTGTGGATAGAAAGTATGTATTTTTAATGTGGCTTTTGAAGGTCCGCTTTGATTCAGTCAGCAATTCGTAAGTTTCAAATCGAAAATAATGTTAATTAATGGTCGTAAATTAGTTAGCTTTGGTTTCACAGTTTATAGTTTAGGATTCAAAGCATCAAGCTGTCAGAAAAAGAAACTGCCTGACTTAAGGTTGATTTCCTCCCATATATTGAATATCAGTCCTTCCATCATTGAATATCTTCGTAGCTAACTAGTTTGATACAATCGGTAAAAGTATTATACGTAGACGACGTTGAACAAACATACAGCCAATCCAAAGTCCTCTAGTCCTAAAACAACAAGGTTAATAGCCTCGGTCATAATAATTAAACCTCGCGTTAAATTATCCCTCCCAGTAAATGTTTAAGCTAACATATCAGGATTCGGGTTAATGTTGTGTTAGGGTTATCATTTCGTAGTCTCCTTATTTACACCTGAAGGCTGTATTTGTAAAAGGTCAGGGAGGGGTATCAAGTGTCAAGCTGGAGTTTTGAGTTGGTTTCATCAATCAAGGTTAGGGTTTCTTCATCTCAAAATAACACCAGCTATGATACAGTGCTTTGTTACTTCTCTTTCAAAACTTAAAAACTTGAGGTCGAGATTTAAAGTGAGGGTTAACTGGGAATACTGTAAAGGTTCACTAAATACTCTTCACTATCCATTAAATCACTGGTACTTTAACATACCACCTGCCTTAGGAGCAAGTATCTTTCTTAAGTTAGTTTAAGCACCATTTTAAATCCACTTTTTGCATGCATTACGGAAAGTTTCATTGAGTTCAAGCGTCGGATATTCCCAGTTTTTATTCCTTAGAAATAATATACAGGTTATATACTAATCTAATTTAGACTTCGCATGAAATATTTAAACCATTATCTCGATTCTGATTAGTTAACTTGAACTCATCTATGTGATATACTGTTATGATAAACTAAAGAATTGTTGAACAATAGTATGAACTAGTAAGGGAAAGTAAATTATTCCGTACACAATGAAGGGGTTTAATGAGACTATATCGTTTTCGCATGCGTAAGGATTATACCTTTTTTGTCTGCGGGTACTTTAACCCTGAACCTAGGATTCTAACTCCTCCAGGTTACATGAGCTATAACGGTACATCAGTGTATCTTGCATTTATAGACTTATTCAGCTTCATTTTTCTCAATAAATTCGCATATTAGTGTTTCCCTTGCAACTCTAACATCTCGTAAATACCGTATTACTTTTTTTTTGTTCGAATTTGTCAGAATGCGTTTAATTATATACCAGTGTTCTCTTAGCCAATACCCGAGATAGGAGAACACGGAGTGGCAGATGACAACGTTTTTTCTAAGTAGTAAATTGCGCTCATTTTCAAAACCCCTCTACATCATTCTGCAAGTTCAGCTTACGGAGGACTTGTTCTTCCGAAATATCCTTTGTTGCTCTGCTGTGAAAAAGAGCGGTTCACATTAGTAACATCCTACATAATGATTTTAACACTGTTACAATACCTAATTGATATGCGCACTAATATCAAAGTCAACCACTTATCCCTCATTGGTTTAACCTATCCTTTAACTTCGCCACCAGTTTGAACCAATCAATGCCGTAACTTGATGCTATTGTGTTATGATATGGTTACATGTTTTTAAAAGAATTCAGTTACTCCCCTTGAGTACATTTAACATGTTGATTGAGATGTCTTGAGGGTAGGTGGCTTAGTTATGGGGCTTCTCTATATGCACTTCCTACCATTAGTCACATTCGTTGTACTGTATTGCGGTAATCAAATCTTTGGTTGATTATTTATCTTTATACGACTTCGCGTTATGCTTTTCCGTTTCCTGGAACAACAGTGCTTCTGTAAATGTCTTTTTTCCGGACCTTGGGATAAATCTTTTGTATACAGAAAGTCAATTTATGTAGTTGTGACTACCTTAGATCGAAGTAATGACTTGAAAATTAAGATGGCTGAATTTCAGCCTTTGAATTCTGGATTCAAACTTAAGCACTTCCCACTTCAGTTAAACTTAGTGGAAGTCAAGACTGAGTATATGAAACTAGCTAGGAATAAGGTTACAAAAAGCCATGCTTTGGTCTGATCGCCTCTAGCTTCCTTCCAGCCTCCCCCTACCTCAGACAACATCGCTCGTCCAGGCAGTCGGCGGTTGGACGTACGTAACACATGTCCCAACCACCTCGACTGATGAGGTTTCACTACTTCATCGATTGATTTGCTATTCCCACTTAGTACGACAGCATTGCTTACTCAGTTGTCCCACGATACACGAGCACTGCTTCGAAGACATCTATGACCGAATACACGTAACCTACGAATATCCTCAACTCTTACTGGACACTTTTCGCACCAATATAGTAGGATGGAGAGGACTGCAGCTCAGTAAACCCATTCTTTGGCTGGTAGACGGATATCTCGCCTAATCGATAAATGAGGTAAGTTGGCAAAAGTCAATCGAGCTTTCTGTATCCGTGGTGAGATTTCGTCACAAACCAGGCCATAAGCATTGATGAGACTCGCGAGATAAGTGAAGCAGTCGACACACTCAACTGCTTCACTCCCTATCACTAGTTCAGGTGCCGACGCAGGACAATCGTGAAGCGAAATTTTGCATTTCAACGGGGAGAATCGCATCTCGATGCTTGCATTGTTACTTAAGGTGTTCAGAAGACTGCATTTTGTCAGCGTCTTCACCGAATAGAACTTTGTCATCAGCCTATTCTAAGTCAGCAAGCGTGTCTTCTGTTAGGTCCACCCTTAAAGAGTCAGGCGATGATAACTCTAAACACGACCAAGTTAAACAAGAATGGGGAGAGTGGGCAACTCTGACGGACACTACTTGAAGTAATTAATTACGACCAGTAGTGTTCGAGTAGAGAGCTTGTATAAGGTTTATGTACTTCTCCGGTACACTTTTTAATGACAGACACTACCAAAGAACCTCACAATCAACGGAGTCGAATGCGGCCTTAAGGTCGAGAAATATAACTAATATGGGGCGTCTGAAGTTGTGTCTTTGTTCTAGAACCTGACGTAGTGTGAATATCTGGTCTACACATCCACGTCCCGATCGAAAACAAGCTCTGCTCTTCACGAGCTTTCATCAAGTGTCGGAGAGCCCAAAGCTAACCCAACTAGACCACATTGCTATCGTCCACTGATGTAGAGGTTTAATTGAAGACTGCCACTCGTTATGAAGCACTTGTTTAGATTCAGACCATACTCTAGTGCAAGCGCGTATATGTTTGCGACTTACTGGATATCTCTAGTCTACTCTTCACGAGCTTTCGTCAAGCATCGGAGTATTATTGAGGCCAGTATTTTAGATTCTATCATAGTTAGACTGATTCCTCTGTGATTGTCACAGGAGGACTTTTGTCTTTATAGACTGAATCAATCAGTGATTGAGACCAATCAGATGGTATTACGCCCAGTTCCAAAATTCTACCTTAAACATCACAGGAGTCAGCTTATCAGGACCTGCTGCTATCCCTCGCTTCAGATTTCCTATGGCTTTTTCAACTTCATCAATAGTCGGAGGACTTACGTCGATTTGCCATTCAGGATGACTGGAGATCGTGGGCAACCGAAGTGTGGCTGAAAGCCAGTTGAACTGACCCCTGAAGCCAACCTGCGTCACCTATGGCGCAGGCGAGACATCCGCTTTCCAACCAAAGGATGAGTGTACTGTGCAGCAGTTCGCTCCGTCCTACTATACCGATGCAAAACATGGCCGTTAAGATAAGAGGACATTCGTAGGTTACTAGTCTTCGATCATCGTTGTCTCCGAAGCATTGCTCGTGTATCCCGGTACAACCGAGTAAGCAATGCTGTCGTTAGGAAACGAGTTCTAGGTAGGGACGGCAAATCAATGGATTAAGTATTAAAACTTCATCAGTTAAGGTGGTTGGGACATGTGTTACGAATGCCCAACTACCGACTGCCTCGACGAGCTATGTTTTGTGGTGTAGGAGTAGGTTGGAAGAAAGCTAGGGGCGGCCAGACCAAAACATGGCAGAAATCCATGAAGTAACTGACTAGTGGACTGAGTCATGTTGGTAGATGTAGACTACGTGTTTGGGGTCCGCGAAACGAAAGTCACCAATGGTTAGAGACCTTGAACGACATGGCTCAGAATCGTTTGCAGTGGCGCAGATGCGTCCACTCTTTGTGTTGTCTATAATTCTAACCTTCTGAATTCCTCATAATCTCTATCTTTCTCCTTCTAAATTTATCTTACTGAATTATACTTCTCGAATCATATGTTCGCTCCCTAATCTTCTCCATTACTGCTAATACTTCTACTATCGCTATCACTCCTGGATTTGAACTGACATTTGCTTCTTTGTGTGTTAATGTGGTGTGGCAACCTGAACTTATGTACATACGTACGAAGTTCTACGTTGCAACTGACTGACTGATATCATTAAGTTACAGTCAGTTTTATCCCTTTGCTATTTTTTCAGGCTTAAACCAACAGTCTTCCAATGTGGTTGATTCTGACAAATTGTGTTAATCATTCAACCGAAATCGTTGGCTTTTTTTCTTCTTTTATACCTATTCTCACCTATTTTTCTTATAACTTGGTCATCTCGTCAATCAACCATTCATTTCAAAAATACTTTCTTTTGCTTATATCCTTATTATAGAAGAATGCATCGCCCATTCTCCAGGCGCAGTTACTGCTGCGAATTTAGGCCGTAAATCTGGTCGAGTAATGGCCACTGGAGGAGAAGATCGCCGACTGAAACTTTGGGCTGTAGGAAAACCTACTTGTATCTTAAGTTTGACGGGGCATACATCATCTATTGAAGCTTCTGAATTTAGTCAAGAAGAAGATCGAGTAGCTGCCGGATCTTTATCGGGTTCTGTCCGTATTTGGGATTTGGAGGAAGTTAAAAGTATGTTAAATTTATTTAACTGTTTCTGTGTTTTCTCCTCCATTGTTTTTACAACCGAAACATCAAAACGTAAAAGTTTGGTATAATTATTCGCCTTAAAAAGCATTAAAAAGTTTGACTACGAAACTGTTGTGAAGGATTATGAGGAAACATTCAACTACTCATTTCAATATGTCACCTAAGGTCATTAGTCTCTACCTGTTAACTTGAACCGTATAAAGCACGGAATTATGAAACGAAACAAAACTATCAATAATAACAATAAATATTAAGTCTTTATTTTCGACGCTGGTTAGCATACAGCGATGTGTTTTTAGATCTACCTCTTTTCCTTCGCCCCTGAAGGGATTCGCTTTGGGCTTCTCCTCGTGACGCAGTTGAGCGATTTCCGCGATACGTTTTCTATTCATATCGAGCACTCTTTCTAGTTTCATCTTCATTTGGAATCTGGTGTGTTCTCTCCCATAGTAGGTTGTCGCTGGTGATGTCTGGCCAATGGATCTGCAGTATCTTGCGTAGACAACTGTTAACAAACATCTCTATCTTATGGATGGCGGTTTTTGATAGTTCTCCAAGTTCCAGCTCCATCCAGTAGAACTGTCTTGACATTTGTATTGAGACTGCTGACTTTGGTGTATGCTGAGATCTACTGCTGCAGAGATTGCTGCTACACTGGTTGTCTTCGTCTACCTTTGTTGTTGTGTGTGGGATAGGAGAACTAGGTGATCTGCGAAGACCGAACCGTCCACCTGCATCCAAGCTGTCTATTGCGTTCTGCGCTTCCCCTTAGATGTTGAAGTCTTCATGATCCAGTCAACCACCAGAAGAAAAAGAAAGGATGAGAGTAAGAAATTTTATCTGACTCCGGTCTTTATTTGGAATGAGTCTGTGAGCTGTCGTCCAAACACCATCGTGCAGTTTAATGCATCATAAGAATTCTGTTAGATGTCGATGGAATCTAGCCTACTGATCTCAAAGTTGGACGTCTACTGAATCTTCCATTATGTTTGACAATACTCTGTTTAAGACATTCCCTGCAATCGAGATAAGAGTGATGCCTCTACAGTTCTCACACTTGCTAAGATCTCGGTGTCCTTCTTTCCAGTCTCTTGGTACTGGTTCTTCCTCCCAATCTTCCTGAATAGAGTGTGTAACACCTTTGCACTCACCGTTATGTCTGCTTTCAATGCCTCAGCTGGTATGTTGCATGGTCCTGCTGCTTTGCCACTCTTGATTTGTTGGATGGCTGTGACGATTTGGATGGGTCAACATCATTTGGGTGGCCCGTGGGCGTTGCTTTGATGTTGGATGGGTTCAGTGGGGTTGGTCGATTCAGTAGTTCTTTAAAGTGCTCTACTCACCTGTCTCGCTGTTCTTGGAACTCGACCGATCGTTCTAGGTTACCATATTTTCCAACACGTTTCTTCGTTGTATCGTATAGTTGTTTCATTTATATTTCTCTTGCAGCTTTTCTGACATTATTGCTAGGTCCACCATATATTTACGTTTGTTAGCTTAAATGCTCTGCTTCACTAGTTCGTTTGCTTCTGTGTATTCAGCTTGTGCCTTTGTTTTCCATGCTCTTGTTCGGCTGATACTGATTGCTGCCTTCTTGTTCTTCCTTTCTAGAGTCTTATCCAAAGTATCCACAGAGATGCATTCCTTATGATGGTGCTTTTGTGGCCCGAAACCTTATGACATGTTGAAGTTGTTCCTTTTTTATTTCCATTCTAGTTGTTCTCCATGATAGTTTCCTCTTCATTGAGTAGATCCACGAAGCCACGGAACTTAGTGTTGATAGCCAGCTTGAATTATTCGAGTTTACCAATATCCAGATGGAAGGTCATACTAAACTTTTGTGATGCTGTTCGACTAGTTGTCCAAGGCTTCTTTAGTCACATTTTCATCTTGGCCACTACCACGTGGTGACTTGAAGCGATATCAGCCCTTCACCTGGTTCTCACGTCCTCCATGGTCTTTCTAAACTTTTTATTGATGCAGATGCTGACGATTCAGTTCTGTGTAGTTTGATCCGGTGAGACCCATGTTACTTGGTGTACGCGTTTGTGTGGGAATATGGTGCCGCCTGTGACCAGTTTTTTGACGGCACATAGATTTGTGAATCTCTCATCGTCTTTATTTCCCTCAGTCCACTTCATCTCATGATATTTTCATATTCAGTGTGGCCCATTCCAACATTGGCGTTTATGTCTCCTGTCTGAATGGTCAAATTGTTTTTTCGGCATTTCTCTGCTATTAACTGCAGTCTCACAGAGTTGAATACCATTCAACAATGTGTGCAGCCGGGAAGTGACATTCGCCCTCATACCCGTAAATACTCGCTAGACCGAACCGTTCACAATCAAATCCTTCCGACACCTCTCTCTTAATCCAATGACCAACTTTTCTTACGTTCCTTTATCATTCCACACCGAAAATGCAAACGATTTGAGTTCCCGAAACGTTCCTCCTCGTCTCATGAAACCCCGTTTAAACTACAAGCTTCCTTAGGCAGGACTTGGGAATCTCACCCCATCGATGTATGCGGCGTCCCCAAAATGAGCATACAGGATCCGAGTGCAGTGATTAAATTGACTTCAATTTGTCCGGATAAAAAACCAGCTTGGTTTACGCTACGTGTATCCGGAAGCCCTGTTGCTGCTTCCGATGGCCTCGCTGGTGTGAGTATAGCACTGATTCCTGAGGCAGACCTAGCTCTTCTAGACTCGATCCCAGTAGACAGTCGCATGTGCGCTGTCCGACTAAAAAAAATAGTAAGGACTCGGGTAGACAGTGACACTCGCCGTTGCCTCTTCGTCGTATCTGCCTACGCCCACACTGACTGCAGTTCAGACGAGGTGAAAGATGAGTTTTACGGAAAGCTTGCGGACCTCTTCCATAAACTTAGGCGCCCTGATATAGTAATAGTGGGTGGCAACTTCAATGCTCAATAGATAGACTGTGAGCAGTAAAAGACACTCGGGCGGATCTCATGGTGGCTCATAGAACAGATAACGGCGGCAGTATGCTGCAACTACGCTCAGATAACCGCCTATTCATAGCAAATACTAACTTTAAGAACAAGGAGAAACATCTTTTGACACAGAGGAGCCCGAAGTCGTCCCACCAATGCACTCAACCAGATCACATTGCCATCAGCCACTGATGGAGAGGTTCGATAGAAGACTGTCGCTCGTTCTGGAGCACATGTTTAGATTCAAATCATGCTCTAGTGCGAGCGCGTATTTGTTCGCGACTTACTGGACGTAGGAAAGACACCGTAAGCGAACCTATTAGAGTCATCCTTAATGATAGCATAGCTAGGAATATATTTCGGGATCAACTAGAAAAACAGTTGCGCGGACATGTAAGTGATTACCATCCAGAAGCGGCTTGCAATGATATCAAAAGGCTGTGGAAACAGCAGTGATATCTGCTAGCAAGGTAAAACATAAGGTTAGAGAGAAGCCGTGGATCTCAGTAGCATCCACCGAGTTGATAGGCTCTCGGAAACTCATCACACTTGACTCTGCACATGTCAAAGAGCGTAGTCTGTTTAGACGTTTTGGCAATGATTGAGAACAGTGTTGGGTGTCGAAAGCAGGATCTATGGAAAATGCAACTATGATAGGTAACAGTAGACAACTGTTGCGCCTAATCAAGGAAGCCGTGAATAGGAATCCGACTGTTAACGAGACTATCTCGGAAACGGATGGCCGTATCATTCATTCTCAGCCCAGGAGATCGGGTCGATTTGCACAACACTTCAAGGGTCAGTTCAAATTTAATGAGCAAGTATTTTTTGTGGCTTACTAAACCATAGCCAAGACATAAGTGTATTTTGAGAGCAACAACCAAAAGCTAGACAGCCATGTAAATGATAACCATCCCAATGCAGGTTGGAACGTTATCTAAAGAACTGTTGAAAGAACAGTGATATCTGCCAGTGAGGTAAACCCAAATTGAGGAAAATCAGTGGATAGATAGATAAATGCCCGGAAACTCATCCCATCTGTCTTTGAATATGGATGAAGTATTGAAATTTCATCAGTTGAGGTGGTTGGGACATGTGTTACGTACGTCCAACCACCGACTGCCTCGACGAGCGATGTTGTCTGAGGTAGGTGTAGGCTGGAAGGAAGCTAGAGGCGATCAGACCAAAGCATGACAAAGATCCATGAAATCACTGACAAGTGGACTGGGCCATGTTTGTATGTGTAGACTAACTGGTTGGAGTCCGCGAGGCGATAGTAACCGGTGGTTAGAGACCTTGAATGACATGGCTCAATATAGTTTGCAATGCAGCAGATGCATCCTCTCATGTGTTCTATCAAAGCCATGTCTGAATTCCCCATGACCTTTATTTTTCTCGTTTCAAATTTATTTCGCTGGATTGTACTCCTTGAATAATAACTTCAAACACTAATCTCTCCGATTACTGCTCATACTTCTTCTATCTCTACCACAATGGGATTTGAACTGACGATTGCGTCTTTGTGAATTAATATAGTTTGGCAACTTGAACTGATGTACGTACTTATTAAGTTCTACGTTATTGTTTTCTGATATTCCTATATCAATGATTTGTTTGCCGGTAATAAGTGTCACTGGCTTTGAGACTGCTAAAGAAACCTGGCGTTTATCATGAGGCTTCGTGAATTCTCTATATTAATACCTGGCAACTCCCACAACTCAGATTAAATCGTTTGAATTTTTTTTTCAGCGAATTCGTTTACTACAGGATCTAGTTTCAAACCCACTTCCCTCTCTTCTGACTTTGTCCGTGTTGTTGGGACCGGCAGCAACCCTAGAAGGGCTACAGATGACGTTACGAAAATTTACGATTGTCGAAATTCTTTTAAATTCGCGGATTTATTAGAACGTTACTAGTGATAGTAGCTTCGTTGAGTTCGTTTTGTTATTCTGTACCTTTTGATTTCACTCCCTGTGTAACATCCTTGTAGCCCCAACAAGACCCTACCATTGTGTTCTGATGTGCTTTTTTGGCATATATTCGCAATCCCTTAGACGCATTTAGAGTTAAATTCAACCAGAAGTTTGATGACTTTTAATCCTATATCTGGTACTAAGAATTAGCTAGACGAACGTATAGTTCTTCGTTCTGGTTTTTAGCTGAAAATCTGTCTAGCTATTTCATCCTCAAGTTATGTTATATAGTGGTAGGCATTATCTCAGTCATCATACTCTCTGTCCCTTTCATGCTTGTATTCTTTTATTAACTAATGAACTTCGAGAGATAAATATTATTTTGTTAATTTTATGAGTTACTGGTTTAGTAATTACAGGTTTATATATTCAGCTTTCAAACACTAAATCACAGTCTTGAACCCCATTCCACTGATGTCAATTTGAATAGCTGAATAGTATCACTGGACCGCACAAAATTAGGGATAATAATAACAATTAATATTGTCTTCAGATAATCATTTAGTTTCCTTTAGTATGTGTCTGCATGTTAGGTAATATCAGTCAATGTATGAATACTGTAAAACTTATGTTTCAATAATTATGTAGTAAAGCTACTGATTACTGTGTTCATGGATAATACGAATTTGGTCTTATTCCTATTTTATAGTTGTTCGAGCCTTGTCTGGCCATACATCAGCCATCAAAACCTTAGATTTTCACCCATATGGTAATTTTGTAGCCTCAGGTTCTATGGATACCCTTGTAAAGGTGAGATATTTTCCGCTACCTATCTGTTTTACTTATAAACTTTATTAATATACCTGTTTTATATATTTGATATCATCTAGTCAGTTTACTGTTCAAACTTATCCATTTGTCAGAAGAGTTCTAAACTGGACTTAATAAGCCTAGTATGATGGATCAATCGTGTTGCAAAGTCCAGTAAAGAATACAGTGTAGCTTTAATATATGTTAAATTGTTTAATCTCAAAAAGTTTACGTATCCAATCTGTAGATTACATGTTATGATAATGAGAGTGGTCCAATAAAAATGCAGAGTCTTCTGACTACCCTAAGCAACAATGCAAGCATGTTCGGGATGCGGTTTTCCCCCTCGAAATGCAAAATGTTGCTTCAAGACTGGGTTGCATCGGCACCTGAACTAGTGATAGGGAGTGAAGTAGTCGAGCGTGTAGACCGCTTCACTTATCTTGGGAGTCTCATCAGTACCGATGGCCTGGTGACTGACGAAATCTCAGCTCGGATACAGAAGGCTCGATTGGCTTTTGCCAATTTGCGTCACTTATGGCGTAGGCGAGATATCCGTTTGCTGACTAAAGGACGAGTGTACTGCGCAGTGGTTCGCTCCGTCTTACCTTATGGCTGTGAAACGTGGGCAGTGGGAGTAAAAGATATTCGTAAGTTACTGGTTTTCGATCATAGGTGTCTTCGAAGCATTGCCCGTACATCGTGGGACACCCGAGTGAGCAGAGCTGTTATTAGGAAACGGGTGCTAGGTAAGAATGGTAGATCAATAGATGAAGTAATGAAACTTCATCAGTTGAGGTGGTTGGGACATGTGTTGCGTATGTCCAACCACCGACTGCCTCGTCGAGCCTTGTTTTGTAGTGTAGGAATAGGTTGGAAGAAAGCTAGGGGCGACCAAACCAAAACATGGCAGAAATCCATGAAGTCATTGACTAGTGGACTGAGCCATGTCGGTAATTGTCGACTACCTGGTTGGGGTCCACGAGATGAAAGTAATCGATGGTTAGAGACCTTGAATGACATGGCTCAAAATCGTTCTCAATGGCGCCGGTGCATTTATTCTCTGTGTTCTCTCAAATGCTAATCTTCTGAGTTCTTCAACCCCTCTAGTTTCGACTCTCTAAACTTTTCTCACTGAATCATACTTCTTGAGTAGTATCTTCTAATCCTAACCTCTCCGATTACTTCTAATTCCCTTACTACCTCTTCTACTGTTGGATTTGAATTGACGATTACTTCTCTGTGCTGATGTGGTATGGCAACATGAACTGATGTACTTATGTACAAAGTTCTACGTTGCATCTGACTGACTGACTGACTGACTGACAATAAAAATAAGTTCAGCTTGAAGTGCACTTATTGAAACATTCCTTTCCTACAGTACATAAATCCTCAGTCATTTTGGTAGCATATATCAGGGTATTTCATAAATTCCTATGCTTCGTGTTCATTTGAAAGCTGTAATTGTCGCTAATACTTCTATTACTCTAGTTAGTCATTTAAAATTCGAAAATAGAATTTTACTGTTGCTTAGTAATTGGTTGCACTGATTTTCTCATTACTTAGCTCTGGGATGTGTCTCGTAAAGGCTGCATTAACACTTACCGGGGTCATACAGGTTCCGTTAACATGATTCGCTTTTCTCCTGATGGGAAATGGATTGTTTCTGCTGGAGAGGATGGAATAATTAAAGTGAGTTCGCACTGAGATTTTATTTGAAAAACATAAAACATGTATACTTTTGTAACTATTTCTATTTCCTACTTTTAATGTCTTGATGACTTAGTTTGCCTCACTTGTTCGAATGTGTTAGCTGTTTCAATCATTTAGTCGAAATTCTACCACCGCATATTTTCTGAAATTTGAAGCATGTCTATACTTATCCATTGAGTCAGAATTTTCGAAGACACAAATTCTTGATCTAAATCATCAAGCATAATAGATATTAGAATTGAATGAATACGCCAAGAAGCTGCTTATCTACCTCTTATAATACACACTGAGATCTTTCAGATTACTATCATGTGTAAAGCTATTAACCTAAAATAACCTTAGTATCCGGATTCCGGCTTGTTTAGAACAAAGGTAACAACTGTATCGTCATAAGACAATTGCTCAAACATGAGTTTTAATTCAAGCAAGTTAGTGAACGCTTTTTAAAACTATGTAAGTTTCACTTCAGTTGTTGTTATTTTTCTCAAGTAAATGCCGAATCGAATTTGAACAAGGCTTTGCATTTTTATTGACTTTTCACTGTTGACTCGTCACAAATAAAATTGTTCAATTTGTTACGAATTATTTTCAAGTCCTTTAATTTATATGAATCGTTAATGCAACAATTTTATATCTTATTTAATATATCTCTGTAAGGATCGACTTCATGTAGTGTCTGTTGAGCTTTTCTTCCAGTTAAAACGCATGTATTGTTGAGTAAAGCCGTCATGTTGTTAAGCGGATGGAATCTCCGATTGCAAAGTTGTAATAGACAATAGAATCAGTAATTTTGTGTCGGATAAGTGACAAAATATTATTTATTTCGTGTACACACGATAATGCGTAGAATACACTTAGAAAAATACGAGTCTGGTGATGATATCTATCTCATACTTCACCCCCTTTGTATTTCTCAGTCCTCTTGTACCTGTTAATGAGAATATGTGGCATCAACAGTTAAGCCTACTAAATAGTCAACTCCAACTTCTGTAAGCCTACCTGAATCAATGAAACTACTTACTTTACGATGGAAATCGCTTTATATTCATTTTGATATTTGACTATTCTTACCTTTGTGATTTAAATAGTTTCATGTAATCTAAAAGGATGAGCTATCAGTGCCACATTAAAAGGAGTGTTGAATACATCACTGTTTTGTGTTGTAGATTCAGATATTTCAACAACATTTTTCTTTTTAAGTTACTGAAAAAAGCATTGCTAATGCTTGTACTACTTTCGTAACTAACACTTCTGCATATTCTTTAGTCTGTGGCACCACTCACGTTATTTTGTCATACTTTGACTGTATCATACTATGATGTAAATCCCAGTATATTTTATTATCTGTATTGCTTAAATATGTTTCTCACATCGTTCGATAAGATATTTTGTTTTGTGAAACAATGAAAGCCTAATAATATTTTTACGTTAGTCCATCTGTGTATTGCTTGGAGTTCTGCACTTATCCAAAGCTAATGATATTAACGGATGTAAACATTTTGAATAATATCAGTCATATTAGTCTACGTCTTGTCGATTATTAATTGTTATTCTAAAAAATAAATATACATATTCGTTTGGAAACTAGAAAATCTACTCTGCCATATTAAGTTCATGTCAATAATGAAATATATGGTTGACTGAGTCTTAATTTACTGTATTTATATTAGTTTGATGCACGTAAATACTCATGGTGTTGTCTACTACATTACATAATAGGAGGTAAAGTATTCACTTTCAGATCATTCGTTTGCATTAAAATGTCGTTTCATTACTTTATCATTACTTTACTTAGTGATAATATGTTGAGTTGTTACAACAGTAAAATGTAACCAATCACTTTTACCGTATTATAAGAGCATGCTAATTATCCAAACTATCAAGAAATTCGATGTAAGCATGTGCTTCAAATGTCGATACTGAAAACATTAATATTTACAGTCTTATACAATGAAAGAAGTTCAGTCTACAGATGACTTATACTTTCGTCTACAATTCCTAAACCGCGGAAACAGTTTTCACATTTGTTTTTCCCTCATACTCTATACTAGTTAGTTTTTCGTATACCAATTAGAAATATTCGTTTTATACAAATTTTTACTTTGCATGCCGAAAAGAATCTGTACTATTGAAGTATTTACTCATAAGTAACTATATTTTACGTTTAAAGTATGCTAAATACAATTGACAAGAAATAAGTAATCTCTAAAAACACGTTATTTATCTTGTACCACTCAATCTAGCCATCCATATATTGACAACACAACTATAATCCTTACTATTAATGAATTTAATACACATTGTGTATGTGTGAAAAATATGTTGTTTTCACGCTAGTATAATGTTTTATTACTGTAATTCGCTAAAATCGGCGTTATGGTGATAAAACGGTATATTATATCTGTTTATCACTACTACTGTTTACTTTCCAAGAATCGCGTTGATTTTTATTCTGTCCAATAGCTTTGGGATTTATCAGCTGGTCGGCAATTAGCCGAATTAGTCGGTCATACTGGTCCTGTTGTGGCAGTTACATTTCATCCTACAGTTCTTCTGCTTGCAACTGCCTCGGCTGATCATACTGTCCGTTTGTATGACTTGGAAACTTTTACACAAGTTGCAGTCACCGGACCAGAGTTGAACTCCACTAATGTGAGGCGTATCGCATTTCATCCAGACGGCGTGTGTTTGTATGTGGCTACAAATGATTATCTCAGAGTAAGTCTGTGTTTAGGATGAGATTTATTACCGAATAGTAATTTACAGCCAGCCTACACAGTGTCATGCGAAATATTTTAATGTAATATTGTATTAGGAAGCAAATACTGCATCCATTTATAACTTGGTTTGCTACAAGAGTTTTACAATGTATAGGTCAATCTACTTTAGCCCTTCTACCTTGGTTTCTAGATTGTTGAATCCTATGAATAGATCGTATTTTCAGCGCAAAGGAAAACCAAATTTTGTGATTTAGTCAGTGCCTTGTAGCAATTACACCTGTTGCCCCTAAAGGAGCATAGGCCGCAGACCAGAATAATCTAACTTACTCCGTCCCGATTCTTTCTTTCCGGTTCTGCTAAAAATGCTATTCTTTATTTGCATGTCTGTCTTCAATTTTCAGTGTAAGTAGATCAGTCAGTAACAACGTATAATTTCATACGTACCTACATCAGTTCAAGTTGCCATACCATGTCATACCATATCAATTCACAAAGACGCAATCGTCAGTTCAAATCCCATTGTGGTAGAGATAGAAGAAGTATGAGCAGTAATCGGAGAGATTAGTGTTTGAAGTTATTATTCAAGGAGTACAATCCAGCGAAATAAATTTGAAACGAGAAAAATAAAGGTCATGGGGAATTCAGACATGGCTTTGATAGAACACATGAGAGGATGCATCTGCTGCATTGCAAACTATATTGAGCCATGTCATTCAAGGTCTCTAACCACCGGTTACTATCGCCTCGCGGACTCCAACCAGTTAGTCTACACATACAAACATGGCCCAGTCCACTTGTCAGTGATTTCATGGATCTTTGTCATGCTTTGGTCTGATCGCCTCTAGCTTCCTTCCAGCCTACACCTACCTCAGACAACATCGCTCGTCGAGGCAGTCGGTGGTTGGACGTACGTAACACATGTCCCAACCACCTCAACTGATGAAATTTCAATACTTCATCCATATTCAAAGACAGATGGGATGAGTTTCCGGGCATTTATCTATCTATCCACTGATTTTCCTCAATTTGGGTTTACCTCACTGGCAGATATCACTGTTCTTTCAACAGTTCTTTAGATAACGTTCCAACCTGCATTGGGATGGTTATCATTTACATGGCTGTCTAGCTTTTGGTTGTTGCTCTCAAAATACACTTATGTCTTGGCTATGGTTTAGTAAGCCACAAAAAATACTTGCTCATTAAATTTGAACTGACCCTTGAAGTGTTGTGCAAATCGACCCGATCTCCTGGGCTGAGAATGAATGATACGGCCATCCGTTTCCGAGATAGTCTCGTTAACAGTCGGATTCCTATTCACGGCTTCCTTGATTAGGCGCAACAGTTGTCTACTGTTACCTATCATAGTTGCATTTTCCATAGATCCTGCTTTCGACACCCAACACTGTTCTCAATCATTGCCAAAACGTCTAAACAGACTACGCTCTTTGACATGTGCAGAGTCAAGTGTGATGAGTTTCCGAGAGCCTATCAACTCGGTGGATGCTACTGAGATCCACGGCTTCTCTCTAACCTTATGTTTTACCTTGCTAGCAGATATCACTGCTGTTTCCACAGCCTTTTGATATCATTGCAAGCCGCTTCTGGATGGTAATCACTTACATGTCCGCGCAACTGTTTTTCTAGTTGATCCCGAAATATATTCCTAGCTATGCTATCATTAAGTATAACTCTAATTGTTTAAATTCTTTTTGTTGCATGTTAATTTTCCTCATTGTTCACAAGTTAGTATATTCTTTTTTTGTTTTTTCTTATCGTAATGAATGGCTTTATTCGTTATAGATATATGATTACGAAAATATGTCTTGCCTAGAAACTGTGCACGTTGGTTGGCGTGCTGGTGGGGGTCTGGATGATATGGCTATTGCTCCAAGCTTCAATCAACTCGTTGGTGTTTGTATTTCAAATTCACTAATTACCACTTATGTGGTGGATGTAAAGTCTTGCATACCGTTCACAACAAATTATTCAGATAATATAGTCGAGTCAAATAAAAGCGTCTGTGGACAATCAACGCAGATGATTACCACCAGTGTAAATGCACCATCCAGTAAAAACGATAACAATACTAATAATAATCCTGCTGCTATCCATTCCGTACAGCAGATATGCAATAGTAATCCTGTTAATCATGTGCAAGTGAGTTGTTTTACATTCTACTATAACCCTGTTTCATTACAAAGTATAAACTTCCATAAATCGAATATTCTACAAATTTACCTGGTAAACTGAAATGTAGTAGGGCTATTCAGCTTTCTTAACTGCTCCATGTTGAAATAATTTACTGATTGTGAATTCAAGGATTGTGACTAGCCAACCGAATGGCGAGAAATATGGCACGTATCGTTTGTAAGTTTCTCATCTACTCTCGATTAGATATTTTTTAAGCTCATGCTTTTTACACTATTGAATAAATCTCAAACATGAATTGTTGAGTGCAGTTTTACTATCAAAGAATATATCCTTAATTATTCCTAATTTTCAACTGCTATACAGCAGCAAATATAGAGTTGGTGAAAATTCAACTCAAATATTATACCAACAATTTGTTTTGCACCTGTTAATGGCTGTATGAAAACGTGCTTCTCCCACTTTTCTCATACTATTTTTAATTCTCTCCAGACACGTTTTTTTAAACTTCATCGTTTGACAAAAGTGTTAATATTAAAAACGGTTTATTATCTATTGGATTTGTTAAGGTTTATGCGTCGTGAAAAGAATTGATCATTACTATATACCATTCATTATTTTCATGAACGGTACATGAACTCAATGCGTAAACTTTCCATCACCAACAGAATTTACCTCAAACTGGAATGTGTTAATGAAATATGCCTCTAGACGAGCCTCAGTACAAATTATTAGACTTCCTAATATCCTATGAATTCACTTAAAAATTCACTCCTAATTAATTTGTTATATTTATTATCTAGTAAAAGACTTGTTCATTTCGAATCAAACTGGTGTACATATCTTACTCCATATATTGCGCTTGATAACTTCAGCTTATTTATTTAAGTGATAAACTTTCAACTAGTAAGTTATTAGGTTTGTAAAGTTCTTTAATTTATCGACGTTTAGGTCATCAAGTATTGGTACAATGGATTCTCACACTGTTTGTACATACATAGTTGTCGAATTGCCTAGTTTGTTCGTTTGTTCCTTCACATAGAAGTCTATTTCATTGGATGCTAAACATTTCTTCGCATATATGTATGTATTTGATAGTTTCGTATGTTTGTAATTGTAGGTGCAGTTCTTGTATAGTGCCACTAATTCATTGATTTAGGTATTAACTCCACTCTGGTTTATTGTTTAGTTACCATTGTATTTAACCTAGCAACTTGAACGTTAGTAATTGATTATTCAAATTACGCCTATCTTGGTGATCGAAATCTGTTTCTTTAAAAAATTATTTGTAACACTTGTGTGTTTATGCTGTTATTTCGTAACAATGCATAAATAATCCAATTATGTCAGCGTACAAAAGTGGTTTATTCCGTCTGTCTAATGAGAAAGCAAATCTATCGATTGGAGGTTTTTGGTGATAGGCAACAAAGTTCAGTCAGCTTCACTCAAAAGAGTATCGACAACAATAAATCGACAAAAACCAAAGCGAAAAACAAGTGAAATAAACGAAAAAGATTTATATATGAAATTGATAGTATTATTACTAATAATCAAATGTTTAAATGAAAAGTAAATATGTATGTCTTATTGTGATAAGTTCTGTGTTATTCCACCTAGACTGTCTCGCTATTTTGTCACCTTATGGCTTTATTTATAAAATCTACATCTTAGATCAACACCTAATGACTTCGTAATTTTATGTTATGTTTCGATCCGGTTAACTGTAATGTTTTCCAACCTAATTCTGTTTTACATAACGCCTCACACCAAAGTAGTTAATCTCCATCTGTACCATCTACCGCTGTTGCTACCAGCTCAAAATTATTTTAACTGTACTATTTTCGTTTTCCAGGGGTTTTTCTTTTATTCCCAATGTTCATTCGTTCCATCGGTAGTCAGCAATGTTGGGAATTCACTCACGAGCAAATATTTATCGTATGTCGGTATCCACCACTCCATAAACAGACAACTTACGTAAAACGTGTTAACCTATAATAGTCATTCAATAAGTCGCTGCAGCAGTAGGTGACATAAGTTTAAAAATTTCAGACAAATTTCATATCTCGAAAAACTCCATGCGATGCTAAAGGCTCATAATGTATGTGAAACTCGATAATCTCTACAACACCCCTTATACTGTTCTCCCCCTTGAAATGCCTGCGTCGGCACCTGAACCAGTGATAAGGAGTGAGGCAGTTGAGTGTGTCGAGCGCTTCACTTATCTCGCGAGTCTCATCAATGCTTATGGCCTGGTTTGTGACGAAATCTCACCACGGATACAGAAAGCTCGATTGACTTTTGCCAACTTACCTCATTTATCGATTAGGCGAGATATCCGTCTACCAGCCAAAGAATGGGTTTACTGAGCTGCAGTCCTCTCCATCCTACTATATTGGTGCGAAAAGTGTCCAGTAAGAGTTGAGGATATTCGTAGGTTACGTGTATTCGGTCATAGATGTCTTCGAAGCAGTGCTCGTGTATCGTGGGACAACTGAGTAAGCAATGCTGTCGTACTAAGTGGGAATAGCAAATCAATCGATGAAGTAGTGAAACCTCATCAGTCGAGGTGGTTGGGACAGGTGTTACGTACGTCCAACCACCGACTGCCTGGACGAGCGATGTTGTCTGAGGTAGGAGTAGGCTGGAAGGAAGCTAGAGGCGGTCAGACCAAAGCGTGACGAAAATCCATGAAATCACTGACAAGTGGACTGGGCCATGTTGGTATGTGTAGACTAACTGGTTGGAGTCCGCGAGGCGATAGTAACCGGTGGTTAGAGACCTTGAATGACATGGCTCAAAATATTAATCCTCTCGCAGTGGAGGCCACCTTAAACTTCGATTTTGAATACTAGTATTCATAATAGAAATTTCAAGTGTCATCATCATTGACAGCAACGTAGAACTTTGCTCGTAAGTACAGCATTTCAAGTTGCAATACCACATTAGCACAGAGATATATCAATTCAAATCCCATATTAGTAGAAGTAGTAAAAGTATTAGAAGTAATTGCAGAAATTCGGGTTCGAAGATGTTATTCAAAAAGCATAATTCAGTGAGGTAAATTTAGAAAGTGAAAGATAAAGGTGATGAGACATTCGGAAGGTTAGAATTTCATAAAAATAGAGAGTAAATGAACCTACGCCATTACAAACGGTTTTGAGTCATGTTACTCAGTGTCTCTAATCATCAGTTATTATCATCTCGCAGATCCCGACCAGATAGTCGACACCTAAAGACATGACTCAGTCCACTTGTCAGTGACTTCGTGGTTTTCTGCCATTTGTTGGTCTGACGCCCCTAGCTTCCGACCATGTTATTCGTATGTCACAAAACATAGCTCGACGAGGCAGTCGGCGGTTAGGCATACGCAACACATGTCCCAACCACCTTAACTGATGAAGTTTCATTACTTCATTTATTGATCTGTCATTCTTACCTAGCACCCGTTTCCTAACAACAGCATTGCTTATACGGTTGTCATAGGATACATGAGCAATGCTTCGGAGACAACGATGATCGAAGACTAGTAACCGACGAAAGTCCTCTACTCTTAACGGCCATGTTTCTCATCCGTATAGTAGGACGGAGCGAACTGCTGCACAGTACACTCGTCCTTTGGTTAGCGAACGGATATCTCACCTGCGCCATAAGTGACGCAGGTTGGCAAAAGTCAATCGAGCCTTCTGTATCCGAGCTGAGATTTCGTCAGTCACCAAGCCATCAGCACTGATGAGACTCCCCAGATAAGTGAAGCGGTCTACACGTTCGACTACTTCACTCCCTATCACTAGTTCATGTACCAACGCGGGTCTAACGTTCGGGTGTCATTAGTACAGTGGTTTGGCGTTACATCAAGTACAGAACATAAAAGTGGCGACGGGGCTTACAATTCACAATGTCAATTACCCTTGAACAGATAGAATCTCTACTGGAAGGGTGTTTTTTAAGGAACCTAAAAAGGAAGGTAGATTAGAGTTGGTCTTAACGACCTGGGAGCGTGACCGCAGAGTCCAAGGGAAAACTGCTTGAGGCCGGTCACGTACGGCTTTTTATGAGAGGCTTTTTGAGTGTTAGCTCCGCCCTAATTAAAGCCCTTAGTGGGCACCCTTACCGCCGGAGACGGTAACTGTTTATATGAGTTACTTTTACGTTTGAACAAAAGCAACTAATTCACATTTTTATTACGTAGTATTCTAACAGTTTTCTAATGACAATTGTACCAGCCAGATTTGTAGCTGAATCTATGCTTGATTTGCAAAATAAATCTTGCTGACTACCTTATACTGTTAATCAGTCCACCAAAGAAGCAGATCATCAATGTAACAGCAGAATTTTTAATTATTATAAAGATTTAAAAAAGTTCATTAAGGGATTTAGCTGAAAGTTACATTTAATTATGAAATGTATACTCATATTCATTGCTTCATCCATATTGTCATTTCCAATATAGTGCAATGAACGTCCATTTACTCGTTGTGGTTCATCTTCATCAAGAGTTCTGAGTTCCGTAGGACGCAAAAGTTTCTGTCTTGTTGCTGAGGAAAATCTTCAAAATGTTATGAGTGTGAGTTTCTAACTTTTTTTATTCGTTTTCGAGATTTCATACAGTAAATTTTACTGTGCAAATTATAAATTGAGTAAAGCCTGATGACGATCTAATCGAAAACAATATTGTTCGCTTATATGTGTTGTTCTAAATTGAAATTAATCTGTCGGTTTTTCTCATTACATGGAATATGCGTTTGATTTTTTGGACAGAGCTTTGTGTTTTTTAATTCAAAAAACTACAAATTTTAGGTTCACCTGTCGCTAACTAAATAGATAAGTGTGAGACAATGATCCACCTTAGTAGTGCATGAAAAGTTACACAACATCATAGATTGAATAAAGTTAACGCCGTCGGACACCGGCTCATTGGTCTAGAGGTTTGGCGTCTGTGCGCGATTCTTGCGTGTGGGTCCATAGATGCGCACTGCTGAGAAGTCACATACTGGGATAAATTGACCGTCCAGTACTTCCAGGTATTCAATGGTGATTTAACTAAAATTATTCCGTAGTTTAAACCGTAAATACGACAAATCGGTAATGAATTTACACATATCTACATTTCGATTACAATCTTTACTGCTTTTACAATTAATTTTCCTGTTGAATATTGTTTCACCTTTGAAGCACCTATAGCCCTGTCACTTGTTTACGTAATTATTGTGTGACAGTATTAACCAATTATAATGTTTAATTTTGATCTAGAAGTAAGTTGGACACATTACAGTGTATTATTAATTGAAGACGCAGTTATACGTTTACCCCTACCCAAAGATGTCATCTTGTTTAAAAATTATTTAATTGTTCTGTTTGTTATTCATTTGTTTTTAAACTTGGTTTACTTCGTTAACTAGTTTTGATTTTTAGTTTTGCTCTTTATTTACACACAGGTATTCTCTTCCAAAATATATTTTATCTTAATTTTCAGGAGGATCCTAATGATCCTGATGCACATTTACCTTACCAACCTACAACTGAAGATAGTGAATCGCTCAACTCAGCTGATATAACTGATCCAGATGAGTATGATAGGATATTTAAACCACACCACACAGTTCCACGTAGTCCTTCTCAAGTAAGGTCTATGGCTTCTGGAAGAAATGTGTCAAATGAACATGAAACTGACCCAAGCACTAGGCTAAATTTCGATCCCCCCTCTTCCTCACCAAACATTGTGAATCCAACACCTCGCGAAACAAAATGTGTTCAGTCAAATATCTTATCAGACACATTCTCATCTGATAAACCATTCACACCTCCAAGTACCACTTCAGCTTGCATGCCTAGAAGACCTCATCACACTTCTATCTCACAAGCTCGTATGTTTTATTTCAGCATTTCTTATCCAATTTTAACTTGAAAGACCGAAAGTACTATTGTTTAAATAGTCTGACAAGCTTATTTTTTTTATATCCCATAGAGTTGTAATACAACTTTCTTGATAGGAAAATATTCAGTTCAAAAGTTGATTTAGAATTTCAAAGCTCCCTCTGTAGCAGTTCTAGGGTTGATGCCGGTCCAAGCAGCACGGACAAAGGAAGAAGAGTGGGTAATGTGTTAGCAACTACAACCTGTAGAAAACGAATTCGCTAAAAATATAATTCGAATGATTTGACCTGTGTTGTGGGAGTTGGCAGGTCTTCATTTAGTAAATTCATGACGCTTCATGATGAAAGCCGGGTTTCTTCACAAGTCACGAGGCCTGTGACCCTTCTCACAATCAGAGCAACCATCATTATAGGTAAATGGAATGTTCGCATATTGCAGGAGGCCGGGAAGACTATTCAAGTTGCTACTTAAATGAAAAGATTCAACCTGGTGGTACTTGGAATCAGTGAAACACATTAGACATAGGCTGGAACAAAAAGACTAGCTTCAGGAGAGATGCTGTTACACTCCGGTCATGAAAAAGAAAAATGTCTCTCTCTCACACGCACAAGGAGTTGCACTAGTGCTAAAGAAACACCAAAAGCACTGACAGGATGGGAATCTCATGGACCCAGGATCATCAAAGCATCCTTACGACCGAGAAAGAGGGGTTCCTATGAACGTCATTCAGTGCATTGTGCCCACCAACGAAGACGACGAGGATCAACTCTGTGAGACTGCAGTTAATAGCAGAGAAATGCCGAACAAACAATTTGACCATTCTGACAGGAGACTTAAACGCCAATGTTGGAATGGGCCACACTGAATATAAAAATATCATGAGATGACGTGGACTGAGGGAAATGAAGATGATGAGAGATTCACAAATCTATGTGCCGTCAAAAAACTGGTCACAGGCGGCACCATATTCCCACACAAACGCGTACACCAAGTAACATGGGTCTCACCGGATCAAACTACACAGAACTGAATCGTCAGCATCTGCATCAATAAAAAGTTTAGAAAGACCATGGAGGACGTGAGAACCAGGTGAAGGGCTGACATCGCTTCAAGTCACCACGTGGTAGTGGCCAAGATGAAAATGTGACTAAAGAAGCCTTGGACAACTAGTCGAACAGCATCACAAAAGTTTAGTATGACCTTCCATCTGGATATTGGTAAACTCGAATAATTCAAGCTAGTTCTCAACAGTAAGTTCCATGGCTTCGTGGATCTACTCAATAAAGAGGAAACTATCATGGAGAACAACTAGAATGGAAATAAAAAAGCAACAACTTCAACATGTCATAAGGTTTCGGGCCACAAAAGCACCATCATAAGGAATGCATCTCTGTGGATACTTTGGATAAGACTCTAGAAAGGAAGAACAAGAAGGCAGCAATCAGTATCAGCCGCACAAGAGCATGGAAAACAAAGGCACAAGCTGAATACACAGAGCAAACGAACTAGTGAAGCAGAGCATTTAAGCTAACAAACGTAAATATATGGTAGACTTAGCAATAATATCAGAAAAGCTGCAAGAGAAATATAAATGAAACAACTATACGATACAACGAAGAAACGTGTTGGAAAATATGGTAACCTAGAACGATCGATCGAGTTCCAAGAACAGCGAGACAGGTGAGTAGAGCACTTTAAAGAACTACTGAATCGACCAACCCCACTGAACCCATCCAACATCGAAGCAACGCCCACGGGCCACCCAAATGATGTTGACCCATCCAAATCGTCACAGCCATCCAACAAATCAAGAGTGGCAAAGCAGCAGGACCATGCAACATACCAGCTGAGGCATTGAAAGCAGACATAACGGTGAGTGCAAAGATGTTACACACTCTATTCAGGAAGATTTGGAAGGAAGAACCAGTACCAAGAGACTAGAAAGAAGGACACCGAGATCTGAGAACTGTAGCAGAATTCTTATGATGCATTAAACTGCACGATGGTGTTTGGACGACAGCTCACAGACTCATTCCAAATAAAGACCGGAGTCAGATAAGGTTTCTTACTCTCATCCTTTCTTTTTCTTCTGGTGGTTGACTGGATTATGAAGACATCAACATCTAAGAGGAAACGCAGAACGCAATAGACAGTTCGGATGCAGATGGACGGTTCGGTCTTCGCATATCACCTAGTTCTCCTATCCCACACACAACAACAAAGGTAGACGAAGACAACCAGTGTAGCAGCAATCTCTGCAGCAGTAGAACTCAGCATACACCAAAGTCAGCAGTCTCAATACAAATGTCAAGACAGTTCTACTGGATGGAGCTGGAACTTGGAGAACTACCAAAACCGCCATCCATAAGATAGAGATGTTTATTAACAGTTGTCTACGCAAGATACTGCAGATCCATTGGCCAGACATCATCAGCGACAACCTACTATGGGAGAGGTCACACCAGATTCCAAATGAAGATGAAATTAGAAAGAGTGCTCGATATGAATAGAAAACGTATTGCGGAAATTGCTCAACTGAGTTACGAGATGAGCCCCAACATGGAATTCTGAAGACCAGAGGTAGAGAGGTACACCACGCAACGGATTTCGCTGAGAATTGGGGAGCTGTATTAGAATTAAAGCGTAGCAATCGTGCAGACCTGAAGATGGTGGTGCAGGATAGAGTAGGTTGTATATTACTCATCAGCGGCGTGTTCATTAATCGGTTGTACGGGCATAAATAATTAAGTTGTACTTTGCAAATGCGAAGTCAGTCATTATTTTGGCTTGCATAAATGATTGCTACATCATTTAATTTACAGAATAGAATTACTTCTTAATAGTAATTCTGCTATTTTGAAACTACTGGTACTTATTGCTTTTAGATTTCTTCGTATCTCAAGTGCTTGTCCTTTACTTCGCTCTATATTCAATTGCTGAGTGTTATGATCATATAGTTTAACCTCTTTTTCCTATGTAAATGAAAGCGGTCACTGGGACCGATATACAGCTGCTCTGCAATTCTTAAACTTTACGTACTCGTTTTTGCTAACTTTTGATGCTCTTTCATGTAATATAACATCGAAATAATATACATTTTGATGGAGAATAAGAAACTAAAATTCATTGTAGTATATAATGTTAACTTTTATACCCAGATACTGAAATGTAGTTCGATTTTAAAAGTAAATTGGAAAGTTTATCTAGATTGAGTATCATAACTTTTTATTTTTTGACCTTTATTTAAGCTCGAATAATTTCGAATTCGCCACATCCACCTGAAGCAATTGAAGTGGAGGATTTTTTACCTGTAAGTTATGATTCTCTAGAATCTAAAAGATTGAAATATTATTTTTGCATTGTAAATTTTCGTTTGTTGAAATATGAAAATGATACATATGGTTAAATTTGGTCATCAGTTGTTTTGCTTAGTTCGTACGACTGAGTACTTGTTGTTTGGCAACTTTAAACCTTTTTCCCTAGTGGATATATTCGGTTTTACATTTATGATTGGAAAAGTATACTAGAAAACTCAATAATTTATTCAGATTCACAGTTCTTGTGCTTTCAATCCATTATATCTTTCCTAGTTTATATGAATAACATGAGACATAGTATACTTATTTATAAACTTATTAATGAATGGAGGGACTAGCTATTATTATCGTTTGAAAATGTTAGTTCACTATTTTACAAGTACCTATTTTATGCAGAATAAGACGGCGGTGACTAAATAAATAGATTTATTCCACACTATCCAAAGCCGTTATGACTTAGTCTGTCTTGTTAAATTTTTCAGCAATCATCACCGACTATGATGAACTTTTCATTGAACCCAGTTCCACAGAATATAAAAAAGCCAACACACGATAAACCTAGTAGCCTTTATGAACCATCAGAAGCTGAATTGTTATTGCGAATTCGTAAACCTCATGATCCTTTCGTAAAGGTTATGTCGTCACGTGTCAAAGGCTTATCTACTGTTCGCGTAATGTGGAGTCCAGATAGTGTGAAAACAGCTGTTGAATCTGCACTTATGATGAATGATGCTGCAATTTTAGTCGATGTACTTGGGATATTGGCAAACAACAGGTAAATATTCTCATCTTTCCATACTTTGAACTCTCCTATAACTATGTTAATGCATCACATTTGTTAATCTATCTATTTATCTGCTCAGAGTCCGCTAAAATAAATATAAGTTGTTTCATAAGTGATGAGAACACCGATTTACTTGACATTCTACAACCTTTCAACATGTATCATTCTGACTTTTATTTCACTATTCAAAATAAATTCAATCAATTTGTTAGATTTCTTTACATTCTTTTGATGTACTGCTATGATCAGTCTCTAAAAAGACACATTTATTAAAAATAAACATGGAATTATGAGCTGACTAAGCCTCCTAATCACCCTAGTCTCATAAATGCTCCAAAAAGCTTCCAACTTTTTACAAAGTAGTAGTAAACACTGCCTAATTCAAAACTGATTTTCAGAATGTGCATTGCTTTTTTTCAAAATCTGAGTTGAGAATATTTGTTACCGATTTAAGAACATCCGAAATGACCAGTTTGTTAGATTTTTTTACTCCTCACTTCGTGTTAGAAGTATAAAAATAAAGATGAGTTCTACTTTAAAAAGCTTGGTTGAGGGTGTATCTAGAAAGCAAAAATCAGTTGTATATAATTGTCCTTTTCAGCATGACGATCAATATTTATTTTTCGAATAACTTGCTAGTTGATCTTTCAACTTTATAATTTTATTCTTTAGTTTTGTGTTGTCACTTTTATGCACCAAATAGTTTCTTTACACTAATTAATAAAAATGATGCTATCGTTATCCTGGAGTGTTAAACTTGTTTCCTTGATTTTTTACATGTGGCAAACTTGGGTTTTTAAACAATACTATATTAAACGACCTTGCGCTTGTTTTACTGAGTAAAAATGTATTTCTCCAGTCCATGCCTATCACATTTAACCTATTTTCAGACTGATTTTAGTCTGATCCCTGATTTCTGTGATTTATCTCTGTTTCAAAGATTCAGTCTGTTGTCAGCTTACTAACTATTTGTAATATTAAGATCATTAAACTGCTTATTGTTAAAATAAAGGGTATTGTTCAACCGCATGAATGCTGTAGTAACAATTAGAAACTTAGGTGGAATTCGGAGTTTCTGGTTCTTAGGGGTGAGCTAATTTATCAATAAAGTTGTAATGTGGTCACTAGACAAAGTATCTCGACATTTCCAGCACCGTATATATGATGAAGTTTTAAAATTTAGATTTCCTTCTAGTTGGTGTTCGTTTCAAAAAGGTACCTAATGCTTCCTGTGAGATCCTGGATACATTGAATATTCATTAACCATGAAATCTCATTTCAGAATTACCTGACATATTTTGTTTTTTCATAACCCTGATTATTTTGACTGATCCTTCTTTGTGTAAGCAAGTGTTTCTGTGTTCTGAATTCAATAGAAACACTACAATTGTGATCGGATGTTCATTTATTTCTGATTTTCAATTAATTTTTCACGTTAATTTCATAATGAGATACGTCTCAACCACATTGTATCCCCGATAATCATCAGTCAGTCAACGCTTCATTTATTAGTTTGGCGCTCAACTCCTACACTTAACAACCATAACTACCTGCGATGATAATTTTCTCACTTAGGAATGACTTTTGAAAGCGAAAAGGAATGGAGAATGGATTGCCAATATTAATCTTTTCTGATGAAACTTTTGCACATCAGTGATCAAGTATTAATCTGAAATCTGTTGTGGGAACTGAGACTAATTTAATCATCATTTTCTATTTGAGAGTCTGTTATCAGATTATTTACTTAAATGTTCATATTTATTCAATTATATTAACAGATTGTTGGATACCAGATCATTAGTTGTGTGTTGAGGGATTCTGTCAAAGGAGTTTTTAATGATAACAACCTACAGACACATTGATTTCAATTACCAACTTATTTTTCGGATGTGTATTATTAATATCTGTTCCTATGTACTGATTATAATGTGATCATATGAACATTGTAAATCAGTCTTGTTATTTTGGTATTGATGGGACAATTCACAAATTCATCGCCAATGGTACGCAATCCACACCATTTGTCGTTACAAAGAAATTTTTCAATAACATACTATTTTTAAAATAGTTATGATGTCATATCAAGTTTAATTATTTAAGTATACTACTGAATAATGACAAAACTATATGGCAACAGCCAGTGTTATACAAAAGGTTTCATTATTTATCTTAGAATTATATTTATGCAATAGTTGTTTTATTGGTTTTGATTAACTCTTTTACTAGTTGTCTGAAGCTTTTCAATCTCATTGTTTGACTTTCTTGAACTGAACTTGTTCTGATATGTTAGAGGCTAGTATAAGCAATTAAAACAATTTCTCAGTGCTTTAGGTGATCTTACCCTATTTGTTAAACCCAGTGCTTGGCATAAATTTTTTTCAAATTAATTTTTTGTTACTCTGCAATGATAATTGTTTGTTTGTTTATCTTATTATGCAACGTAAGACTAAAAATAAAAGCGCAATAATTATTCTCATTACCTGTTGATATCTAGGTTTGATCTACTTAGTTTGTGAATATTGATCGAATTTCGTTATTCTAATTCTATTATTGAGGTGTGCAATATCTCACTTTTATTTCGCTATGAACAAACATCCCGTTTTATTTTCATTCTAATATATATATATATATATATATATATATATATATATATATTGCTTTGGATTAGGAATAATTAATTTTACTTTTAAAAGTTGCTGGTGTAATACTTTAGTCATACTGTTTTCGATATAATCAATTTTAGGTGACCTGCTTTTTTTCATTCGTTTTGGCTCACATTGATTGTTGATTATGTTGATATTGTATCGTCTTATTATTTGTTAAGTTTATAGCTGGAAATAATAAATAGGGCATGAATAACCTACGCTTGTTGTACTACTGAAGCTAATTTGTTTCCATAGTTTATTTTGCATGCTATGCAGTTGTTGAGCAAGCACTGTCCCATTGTGCTTCACATCATACAAATCATTCGATAACATTGTTTCGTTATTAATCGATACGGTTGGATTGTATTTCAATTACGTAACAGCTGTTTCTGTGAATGACAGACTAGAATGAGAGTGGAAGCTGTGCTGAAAACATTACAAAGTCACATTAGTACACAAAATAAAATTGCTGGTAACTCGATACAAAGCAAAAGAAACGAATGATTCAAAATCCTTGACCTTATGGACTTATTTAACATGATTTTTGCCATAATGTTTTCATCTTGATGTAGGGTTTGATTCTGACCGACGTGTTTGATTTCTTTTCTTTTTTGTGCCAGCAAATATTGGAGTTTGGATCTAGTCAGCTTTCTTTTACCTCAGTTGGTAGAACTAATTCACAGTAAATATACCACGTAAGTTACCCATGTTAGCTGTTTATGAGTACATTGATGTACTTGTCTAGATATACTCTAATAAATATGTACGAAAACGAACTCATATCAGTGAAGGCAAGCGTCAAAAAGGCAATTTATTTAATACAATAAGTTAATGTCACTGATTTATTGAGTGGCTAAATATAAGACAAATGAAGCGGTTTATTAACTTGATATAGTTGTAATTATTATTATCCTTTTTAAATTTGCAGAGTATAGTTTGCTAACTTGTGACGTCGGCTAGAAGTTCATTCACCAACCAAAGGGCATGTGTTACTGTTCGTTAATCCTTTCTATGTTACTTTATAGCTACAAAGTAAGAGGCATACATCAGTTACTGGTTTTCGATCATAGATATCTTAGGATCATTACTTGTATATTTTGAGGTCATTTATTTAGCGCTGCTGAAATTAACTCCTATGTACTAGATAAGGATAGAAAACCGATTGATGAGATACTAAATATTCACCGACCGAGGTAACTGGGACACTTTGCCCATTCACCACCTACCTCAACTAACCATGATGGATCACATATGAGTAGATCGAAAGAAGGTCAAGTGTTTCGAACCCAATATGTGGCATCAATCTATGAACTCACCGACAGCTCGACTGAGCTAAGTGTGTAAGCTCAAACTACTTGGTTTGGGTTTGCTTGATTATCATGAACAATGGTTGTAGACTATGGGATGGATGATGAAGATTCTATCACAGCGATCCAAGTTGATTTATTCCTGACTTTGTTCTCGATATTGAATTTCAAAGTTTCTTCCTGCACACTTTTCTGTTGTGTCCTTATAAATCATTTACTCATTGTTTAATTCTTTTTATCACCGCAACTACATTGTTTCGATCCCTCTTGTTAGTTTCAACTCGTTGTGTTAATCAGGTATGGCAACTTCGGCCAGCGCTCATTTGTGTCAAGCTTTATTTTAATCCTGTCTGTCTGTCCATATCTAGATGTACGAATTCATTATGTATGTTGTTTCATGTAACTAATCAAGTATCTTTCTGTTTCCTTAATTTCCTGAGGCCAAATTTGGGCATATTTTTATCACCCTGTACTCCCTTTTAAATGTTGTTCTTAGATCCTTGCAACAAATTATTCGATCCCCAATTCATCAAAACAGACCCGTTCTAAGAATATCAAGGGATGGACATGTGTTCAGATGACGAATGCCTAGAAGGCAGTTATACTAGCCTCCTGTGTCATTGTTCACTTTGCGAAAAATTTTCGTAATATATGAAATACTAAATTTCTGCTGCCTCTCGTCTTGTAGATTTTCTATCCGGATCTCGTCGAAAATATTTGTGATTGATTTAATTTCTCCTTCATTCTCTATATACAGTAGTAACTCCATTAAACTGATAAATTCATTTGCAACGTCTTAGATGGTACAAAATTCTTAACTGCCAACCTCCAAGTCTCAAAAGTTAAACTTTAATCTGTCACTTGACATTGATGAATCAGTTTGTTTAGTTTATTAAAGATGCGCGTATAAAAGTTCGTATTTCTTCGTCGCCCATTAGGATGTGATCAAATGGAATAATCTAATGAGATTGACAATATGAATTGTGTAGATCTGAATGATCAACGTTGGTGAGGTTTAAAACATTCAATCACCAGACCGTTTAGGATACTTCTCCAGAAGTTCCAGATTCTGAGTTTAAGTAAAGATCAGAATTCGTTTGTTAACCTGTTCTACTGTCAATTAGGAGGAAATTCTCGCTTCACAATCTTTTTGTTTTCAGATAACAGGTTTAGTGCACCCAATGTACTTGGATTTGATAAGGATGTTTATTTGTCATGTCGAGCCAGTCAAATTTTTTGTTTCATCTGAATCGCAGATAAAGTTGATCTGATAGTGTGTACAACAAATCGAGAGATGCAACTGAGACTTAATCTGTTGATGAATTTTTTCAGTTTTTTTATCTTATCAATTAATTAACTGCTACACTAGCAGTTAGCTGAAATATGATTGTGTTCCGTTGACCGATTTCCAGTAATTTCATAAATTTAGTATGTATCATTTTGAATTCTAACCGAATAATTTATTCTGTATACAATCACATTCCCAGTACAATTAATCAATCATAATTTAGTTTCATATATTTAATCTTTCTATCACTACTCATTACTCCAATAAATCGCTTCAGAACAAACTGCTGGTTTTTTCACTCACTTACCTTGATGATTATGTAAGCCTTTAACACTCGCTGTTGATTTGGTACATCTAATTTGTTAAAATGATATTTGTGATATTATTCTATTGTGTCATTAAATCGCCCTTATCGGAGGAAACTGAACAGTACGCGATATTCGATAACCAGTAACGATGTTTTCTTTTCTTCTTCATTACTCTATACGTTTAAGTCAGCAATACACTTATGTTAGTTGTTTAAGGATAATCAATAGAGTTATCAATGTAAGTCTTAATTTTAATGAGGCCTCCGAATATGGAAACTTTTCCTTTTAAATATTTTCTTTTCTCATTCATACTTCCAGTGAGTCATGTCATATCTACTGTGGCTTAGTGATTAAGACGCTCAGTTTACAGTTTCCGAACAACCACCTTCAAACTCCACTACGCCTATCTGGGCGACTGTGTAGTGCCATTATTCCTCACACCTAGAGTTTGGCTCATACGCAAGTACCTGGTAAATGAGCTCATTTTTAAACCCGTTGGTCTGCAAAATACATGAGACCACCGCCAACAGTTGATACTTCATAATTTCTACTATTGGTTAACTGTTGGCGAAACACTATATCTATGATGATACAGTTAATTAATGTGTCGTGGAACCAATGACCCAAGTGACTATTTAAATGTGTCTAATATTAAGTCATAAATTCAACTAACTGATTGAATGTGTTCACTTACCTGGGTGAAGCGTTGATGAACTTCACTTCGAATAAGCGATGTGGTTATCCGTTGTTTATAACCTCTATCTATTTATTCGATCTGTGACTTCTGTCAACAAATTAATTATTGCTTCAAGCATTTATGAATGCAACTTTTCGTTGAACCACAATATTTTGAAATCTAGGCTAAGGTAACAGATAGTATGTTTTTCCCTATTAATAACTATTACCCAAAAAACTATCTGTTCTGACCATTAGATAAAATAAAATCTTAGCTTTGAATGCTCTGTTAAGCCTAAACTTAATACATTGTCTTATTACTGTCTTTTTTAATACTGTTTATTACAAAACATCTTGGTTAAACTACCATTGTCATCGAGTTTTAGATGTTTGAACTAAACTATTGGATCGCTTATCATTACTTGGGTGTTTACACTTTAAAGTTTCATGTATGATTTCAACCACATTTCTGTTTACTTTTGGTTTTTAGTCATGTTCAAACAACTTGTCAAATAGTTCGTGTAATAATCAAAAACTTTGCTACAGTGATTCGCCAAACTATCGAAGGTCCAGCTCCACCCGGTGTAGATTTAATGCGAGAAGAAAGGTTATTTATTTTCAGTTTTTTTTACAGTTATTCTAATTCATGTCCTATATTTTGAAATGTGTATAGCGTTTCATTCCAAGTTTTGTGAGCAATTATCAGCAACCTATACGCAATTATTCTTGGAACTTATACTTTCAAATGCTAATTATTATCTAGAAATTATAACATTTATCATACGTATATATATTTATATTGTAACTGTTTCTTCCCGAACCCTGAAATTCGGGTTTGTGCATTTATTAAGAATTCGACACTATAAACGAATACCTAGTTATTCGCAATCTACAGTAAAGCTATTTTTGTTGGGTTTTTACTCCTTCCCCGTTATTTCAGTTTCGATTCGTTCAATTTCATTCACTTATCTAAACAGCATGATACATTTATAGTGTTGCTTGCTAGTATTATACATTCCACTATTTTTACAATGTTTAGAAGTAATGATGAAGTGGTATACTTATGTTTAACATATTCTTTCTCAACTAATAGTTCCACTTCAATTACTTTGATTTGCGTAGTCGGTTAGTGCTAACAAAACGGTATGGTTCTAAACCAACTACATAAAAGTGTACTTAAGTAAGACTACGTATGAATAATTGATTTCATTGTTGGGACTTTATCTGTCGGTATATTAATCAATCTCTGTATGTCCTGTTTTCTTTCCAACTTTTTTTGTTTAAATTGGATACGCAGTATTTGTTTCTTCGAATGTCATCTCGTTTCCATATCTTCTTACATATAAAATTTGATAACTTATTATATCATTCACAATTTCACTGTAGGTAGTTCCTCATTATTCAAATAATTTTAATTTATATTAGATGTATTTAAACAAACGTAATATTTATTCAAGTATTTTACTTTTTGTTCACATGACATTAAACTTAATAAGTTCACTTATATAATGCTTTTTAATCTCTCGTCTAATTTTTTAGACGTCGAAAATGTCAAGAATGCTTGTCCCATTTACTTACGATACGTTCAGCTCTTGGAACGAAAGATGTAGCCAGTAAGGCTGGTCAATGTGGTCGTGAATTAAATGTAATGTTTCAGCTTCTGGTTTGATTATATATTCAACGAGGAATGTTTTCCTGTATATTTCGAAAGCCATTTCTACTGCGATAAATTAGTTTTAAAAAAAAAAAAATTAAAAACGCTGTAATCCGGTAATACTGCATTTCAAAGATAAGATTTATACTTCACACATTTCCTGTCTGTCACATGTTTGATATTTTATCATTTAGTCTCTTTGTTTCATTTACCCTGTTTGTACATATATGGTAACTTCTAAGCTGCATGTCGTTAAAAAAGGTAATGTGATATTCAATTACAGCTTCTTATGCATAATTTTTTTTGTCAAAATAATTGTCAGAAATCTTTTTGAGCTTATCTTCAAGTCGTTTTTCTTTCCCTTCTCACTGTCTGTTTGTATGCTTAATTTGCTAGAAAATGTAACAGCTTTGTGTCGTCAGCATATAAAAATATCACATATGCAAAGTAACTGTGTATGATATTTGCCATCCTGAAGACGTATATTAACCTTGTATAAGCTCTACTCGAATCCTACTATCCGAGTCAGGGCTCATAAAAACCAGTCAGTGAATATGATTACTCCAAGTGGTGTTCGTTAAGGTTGGTCGCTTTCGGTAATTTTCACATGGTTCATCTACCTAAAACTTATTGTTGAGAGCCATCTTGAATTTACTGAGTTTATGGTGAAGTTTCGTTCTCTAAGCTGGGTGGTTTGGTTGTGGAGCTTTAACTGTTATGCTGAGTAACATCAGCAAAAACTTTAGGTAGAAGTGAATTGTTTGAATTCCCACTCATAAAACTCGTGATTTCTCCTTCTGACATCGATATTGACTGGTTGTTTTTGTTATTAACAATTTGTTGTCTTCCTCTTTATTTAGATTGTATGCCCCATCGATCTGATTCCTGATCACATATTTGTTTACTATTTTTCTGGTTTGTAAATAATTTAAATCGACTTCGGTGAATTTATTAACTGCTGTGTGACCTTTGCGCCAAGCTTTTAATTAGTTTCTAGTGTCCTTTATGTTCGGTCTATCCAGTATTGTGGAGTTAGACTGCAAATTGGTATTCACGTAGCTCCGCCTGTGTGACAAGTGTAGGGTCATTAATCAAATATAAGATGAATAACATAACAATAAAAAAGCAGTTAATGACAGGTTAACAACAACAAAAACAAAAGATCGGTGTCAGAAGGACTATTCACGAGTTGTATGTGTAGGGATCCGAACAATCCACTTCTACTTGAAAATTTGGCTGATGATGCTCAGTTAAGCTCTACAGCTAAACCATCGATCTCGAAGAACGAAACCCTACTGCTATCATTGACCTGAGCTTTAAATTTTCCTCACTGAGTGACTAATCAATGTAAGAGTCACCGCCTAACTACGCATTCTAAGATGGTGGAGACTAGTCAATCCTCAAATCATAAATCTCGTAGATAGTCGGTGGACATTTAATCGAGGGAGCGTAACCCGTGGAGATGTTATGTTCATTAAAAGCTTCAAGATTTGATTTGTTTGGTTGGTTCTTCTTGCGTTTTAATGTGTGTTCTGCGTAATGATGTTAAAATATGGAGGAAACAATTTATTTCCTAGTTCACTTAGGTTATCTTGCTGTTTAAGTGTGATAGCATTCTTTGATGCTCAAACTAAATTTCAGACAAACAATTAGAATGAGGTTGTGCTGAGGCGTCATAGGACGAGATAAAAAGAATTCACCATTAGACTCGACAGGTCTTTAATGCGATGTTGAACAGCCTGATTGACAGCGATTATTCTGAGTTTGATCTACTTGAGTTAAGTTGTATGATGGCTTGGTTCTCAGAATGTCTCAAGTCGTCGTTAATATCACTATTTGTGTCTTTTTTTATCGCAGATCTCAGCTTGGCTAACAAGGAATTCTTAGCATAATAATTCAATAAGCTTTATTTGAAAGTATGATACCAGCCTCCACGATGCACCGGATTGTACTGTTTCGGATCGTGTGAAGCAACATGTCATAAACATTTTATATGCATACCTGGATAGATTATCGTATTAGTAGGCTTAATCAATGTGTGAAAAAAATAAGGTATTTTCATGTTAGGAAATAGGTAGCCCAAAAAAAATACATCCAAGTCAGACTTGAGTACAAAGTTTATCATTTTACAAATGACTATGTGGTTTCTGTATCATGCTCCTAATGAATGATAACTGAGTGGGGTTTCTCAGTTAAAAGTTCAAAACTATCTCAGTACTACTAGCAAAATAGCACAACAGATATAGTAACTGAATGTGACTCTAAAATCTAACTAATTTAATTCAGCAACTGATGTCAAGATTACACTAAGACACCATCCTATATATTCTAGTAATTTAGTCGAAGAATAATGCAATTGCCGTTTCCCTTCTTGAGCAGATCAAAGATTTCTGGGTAATTTGAAGAACCAGTACTGAGTGCAGTTTTGCAAGGAACAGTTCCATGCTCTTCACATTTTATGCTTCGCAAAAATTGTCTCCGAATATCTTTGAGTCACTGGTACTGCGTTATGTTGATGATCTGAAAGTTTGACAGTGAAGGCGCATATACGATCCAAGCTGACTTAGATGTTCTGTTTATTTGGTCTTACATATAGTAGATACATATCAAGGCGAATAAGTGTGTCTGCATGCACACTGTGGATACAGAAACAAATATCCTCAGCGTTGGGATAGTCCGTGCCCTAAGACAAGCAACAAGATGGTCTTAGGGTATTACTAAGTCGCAACCATTAAACTGCAACTCACTACCTTGAGGTTTAAAATCGCATTGGTTTCATAATGAACGATTATAAAGTTTGATACAAGTATTTTCAATACGGTATATTCAAAATTAGTGGGGGCAAAACTTAAATACTGAATTCGGATCGCTAGCGGCTGTTTAAACGGTGACTCGGATATCTATCTGTGGAGATGGCATGGCAAACTTATTTTATAAATGGTTTTTGACGCTATTTGTATTGCAACAACCCATATGTACCATTGGTATTTTTTACAGTCTGGTTTGTATGAGCTTGTACGACTGAGCATTGCTTACGCCTTCGCGCCGACTCATCCTTCTCGCTTTAATGCTAATATCTTAATACCCCTATGAACTCACATGACTTGTCTCGCTTGCTTTTGACCTGGTCAGTCATTCGTCGTTTTTATTCATGTCTGTGCATGCCTATTTCGCTTTTCATATGTCTGTCTTATTTTTGTCTGACTATATATTCTTAGTCATGCTCTATCTTTTGGAGTTGGCTCAAAAGCCTTCTCCAGTTCACGTCGATTCATTCGTTTTATTCACTGCTTCTCTGCTTCGCTTTGTGGTGTGTCCCGAATAAATGTATTCATCTTCTGATTTATAAACCGTCAGACGCTATTTGGCAACGATTGTCTGAACGAGTTAATTACCGAGCTTAAGAACACGCAGTAAATCGACACACCACATATCTCTTAAAAGTAATAAAAAGGACATCTCTGATAAATTCAAGAGTTCCCTGTTTAGTTAAATACAGAGTCGTAAAAAAATTGCACCTGTTTACTCGCTCCTACCAAAGCTAAAAAGATATCTGTTTTGTTGCATAAAATACTAATTTTGGATTTGATACATCCCATCTTTTCCTTACTACAAGATGGAGGTCATACAGAGAAGACAAAAATCAAACGCATAGTAATCAGTTGATTTAAACTAGCTCGTTAAAAATGATGGGTTTGACCAGTTATTCTTAGCTGCAAGTACAAACATTACACCTCTGAATTTTCAGCAAACATGGTGCAAGTTCTGATGGTCGATATCAAAGGCAAACTAATGCATTCATTAAATGTTCTTGGCCGACTGAATTCGCATGCAAGGCCATTGTGTTCCGAATGGTCCAAACGGCGAAGATTTTACCAACATAAAGAAGGCTGATATCTTTAATAATAACTTCACGAATCAGCCAAATCAAGTACCTACGATTTCACAGTACTACTCAAACCTATGTAGTGTAACGCTTCTACGAAGAAAAAACGATTTGTGAAAAATAAACATCATCGTACTCGTTTTGCTTAACTGTACCAAAAACACTTCTACTACTTCTTGCGCGCAACGTTCTCTTCGCGTTGCTGCCATCTTAATCTGTTTTCTGCTCCCCATGTAATTGCAACGTTCTCCTTCAGTAAACAACTCAACCGTGGATTTATTTTGTTTTACTATGAATAGCGGCACCGTATGGAACATTAAGTGGTGAGCGTAGTCAATCTGGTATCTTGACTCGCTCACTACACCTATTGATAGCTGATGAGCTAGAGAATATCCGACTTACTGCACACAGTGTTTTTTAAACACGAGAAAGTTATTACTTTCTTCACATGTTTTTATTTAATAATAGCCCCGAAGATACTTTTATTTAAGATCAAAGCGCGCAGCCCTCACATTTTCAATCTGTGAATTCCAATGGAGCCAGATGAGAAGTAATCATGATCTGTCATTTCTCCCATGATCACTTCCGTTGAATCCAATCTTCAATACGAATTAGCGCTTAGCTAGCTTCGTAAAACCAGTTCAAACTAAGTTGATTGAAACGTCAAGTTATGAAAATTCTGTCCAACCTGACAACGACGGCTCACAACCTCAAGCAGGCCCACTTTCTAATGTCTCCTCAGAGAGCGATCTCAGTCTACTAACAACTGAAAGCCTCGACACCAGTTCTAACCACCTAGGGCATACAGCCAAGGCTAATGCAACTCTCACTTCTTGGAGCACCTGCGTCTGATACGTGTCTCAAAACTTTCTAGTTGTTATTGCCATTACCTCAGATCTTGACTAACGAATAATTCATTATATATGCTCTTATTTACTTTATTTTGAAATCTTCCTCTTCTTCGAATTAGAATATTTTTCCTTAATATTCTCCACACGCAAATAACTGATCTCTGGCCTGGCGAAGTAATAGCACCGTGTCTCTCGAAAGCCTACCGACTTGAAACGAACATTCTCATTTAAATCATTGGACATACAAATTCAAATTATAACAGCCCAGTGACTAAAATTACTTCTTTGAAATGGCAAAACTACCATCCATTGGACACTCACAAATACCTGGAACCCTACTGAAAAAACAAGAGTCAAGAGGAAGCAATCCCATTGATATAAACTAGACCGTTATCATACCACTTTGAAAACACTGGTTCTCGTCCTAACACCGAAGTTTCCACTGAGGAATGGGTAGTGAAAAACATTTTAAAACTAAAGCTGTCAAAGTTTCATGTTATGTACATTCTGCCCCACATGACGCAAACGATTTACACCCTCAATAGAAGTCCGCTCCCTAATGTCTACTGAGAGCGCGATATCAGTTTAATAACGACAGAAAGCCTGCACAAAAGCCCGAACCATATGGGAGGCAGCCAAGGAAATGCGACTGTTCACTTTGTGCAGAGACAACAAAATTACTCCTAACGTGATTCAAGGCATACGCGCACCCATACCTTGAGGTTGACAACGTCATCGCACCCTTTCTTCTAAAAAGAGACAAATCTCTTGGATCGAGTGCAGAGACAAGCAACGAAACGGGTGAAAGGGTTGAAGAGCAAACCTTAAGAAGATAGACTCCAGCTCTTGGGATTGTTCAACCTGAGTTACAGATGAATCAACAGTGATCTGGTTATTGCTTTCAATATATTAAGCAAGCCAATTAAACCCAACCTGAGAATCTTGTCAAAACATCACCGCCATGCTTTTTGGGAAAATCCTCGATAATTTGCACACCAAACAATGAACACCCAGGTTCGTGCACGCTTTTTCTCGGTCAGTTAGTCAGATGCGAAGTAGAACTTCGTACGTAAGTACATCAGTTCATGTTGCCTTACCATATCATCAGAGAGATATAATTGTCATTTCAAATCCAATGGTAGAAGAGGTAGTAAAGGTATTAGAAGTAATTGGAGAGGTTAGGATTAGAAGATATTCAAGAAATATGATTCAGTGAGAAAAGTTTAGAAAGTCAAAACTAGAGGGGTTGGAGAATCCAGAAGATTAGGATTTGAGAGAACACAAAAAGTGTTAGCGCCTGCGCCATTGCAAACGATTTTGAGCCATGTCATTCAAGGTCTCTAACCATTGGTTACTATCGTCTCGCGGACCCCAACCAGGTAGCATACACTTACCAACATAACACAATCCAATTGTCAGTGACTTCATAGATTTCTGTCATGTTTTGTTCTGGCCGCCCCCATAGCTTTCTTCCAGCCAACTCCCACACTACGAAACAATGCTCGTCTAGGCAATCATTGGTTAGGCATACGCAGCACATGTCCCAACCACCCCAACTGATGAAGTTTCACCACTTCATCTATTGATCTTCCATTCCCAATTAGCACCCGTTTCCTAATAATAGCGTCACTCACGAGCAATGCTTCGAAGACACCTATGATCAAAAACTAGTAACGTACGAACATCTACTCTCACTGGGCATGTTTCACAGCCATAAAGTAAGACAGAGCGAACTACTGCACAGAACACTCGTCCTTTAGTCAGCGAACGGATATCTCGCCTACGCCATAAATGACGCAGGTTGGCAAAAGACTGGTTTTCTCGAGTTTGATTTTCACGAGCTTTCCTTAAGCGTCGAAGTATTATTGAGGCCGAAATTTTAAATACGATATTAGTTAGACTGATTCCCCTGTGAATGTCACAAGAAGACTTTTGTCCTTTATTATAGATTGGGACAATCAGTGATTGGGACCAGTCGGATGGGATTACGTCCAGTTCCCAGATTCTACCTAAGATCTCAGTCAACCTAGCTGCTAGAACTGGACCACCATCCTTAAATATCTCAGGGGTCAGTCTATTAGGACCTGCAGCTCGTCTTCGCTTCAGATTTCCTAACGATTTCTCGACTTCATATAGACTAGGGGGGACTTACGTCGACTGGCCATTCAGGATGACTGGAGATCGTGGGTAACTGAAGAGTGGCTCGAGGCCACTTGAACTGATCCCTAAAGTGTCCTGCCCATCGGTCCAGTCTCCTGGATTTAGAATGGATGATAAGACCATCCTTTACCGAAATAGTCCCACTCACACTTGGGTTCCTTATACCAGTTTCCTAGATAAGTCGGAAAAGTTGTCTACTGTTGCCTATCGCCATTGCCTTATGGATCTCTCTCGCTTTCTCCACCCACCACCATTCGCGGTCGTTACATAGGCTTTTATAAGTCTGCGCCTAAGCTGACTCCGCTCCTCATCGCACTCAGAGCCAGGTAGGATGTGTTTTCGAGCATCTATCAGATCGGTAGATGCTACTGAGATCCACGGCTTCATCCTAGCCTTATGGTTTACCTCACTAGAAGATATCACTGCTGTTTCATATCAACCTGCTCCTGGATGGGAATCGTTTACATGGTTGCTTAACACTGAAATTTTTTCTTAGCTTGATTATCATTAAGTAAAACCCTAAGAGGCTTTCTTACGGTGTCTTTCCTACTCCCTGTAAGTCTCAAACAAATACGCGCTCGCATCAGGGCATGATCCGAATTTAAACATGTGCTCCACAACGACATGTGGACATGTGCCCCAGAACGGCGACAGTCTTCTATCGAACCTCTCTATCGGTGGCTGATGTCGATGTGATCTAGTTGAGTCCAAAGTTGAGACGACTTTGGGGGTCGCCAGGTCAAAAGCTGCTTTTCCTTGTGCCCAAAGTTAGTGTTTCCTAGAAATAGGCGGTTATCTGATCATACTTTCAACAGACGGTTGCCATTGTCTGTTCTCTGAGCCGCGACACCATAACATTCACCAAGGTGTCTTTCCTTTTCACTCAGTCTACCTACTTGAGCATTAAAGTCACCAGCCATTATTAATACATCAGAGGGCTTAGCTTTTTGGAGGAGGTCCGCCAATTATCTCTGTTTCCTCTCTCTTCCTTACACTCCGATCCTCTCTCACAATCTTCACTACCAATTAATAAACTAAATCATTTACATTACTAAGTTCTGAAATTTTGTTCAAATTAGCATTAGAATTTTATCCTTATTATCCTTATTACTCTCCACATTGCAACTAACTGACCTCTGGTCCGGTAATGTGGTAGCTGCTGGTATGAAGAAACCCTACTGCCCTGAAACAAGCGTATTAGTTCAAATCACGGGACATACAAACTCACAAACAAATGCCAACTGACTAGAATTAGACAGTTGAGTGTCAAGACCCTCATTCATACCATGTACCTGGAACTATACCAAGAGAGCAAGAAACGATCGCAGATAAATCTATTGGTTTATACTAGCTCGCGAAAAATATTGGATAATGGATATTGGGTATTGAAACTTCTACTTCATTCTGTGTGCGTGATTCAAAGTTGCAACAAATATGGGGCGGTTAGTTGGTTAATCTCGTTAATTGTTGCTGTCCGTAAATTTTTTCCAAACGCAACATTAAAGCCATCACTAAGATTTTGTTTTAAGTATCTTTTAGTTCATGCTGATGTTATGTGTTCTATATATCAAGTAACTAACTAATCGACTGCATCCAAAGCTATGTGCTTTCGACTTCGTCACGATTCGTTTGAATCAAGAGTTCTCATCTGTTAAGATCTCTTACAAGCATTTACTTTTGTGCTTTACAAAATCACCTGTTATTGCTGCGGGACATGTTAAGTAATTGTCAGTAGGTCACATTCATTTAGTCCTAGGATTTGCTTTTTGCAAAGATACCTACTTCATCCAACCTTTCAAATGTCTGGTTGTTGTTATGGGAGCAACGTATAAGCTGCGCAGGTTTGCTTTGATTTGGCATGAATACCATTGGCAGTGAGATGTTTGAGCGTGTTAACTGCTTCTCTTATTTTTATTAGCTCCAATCCTGATAGTCCTTTGTCTGATGAAATCTTGGCTGGGGTACAGAAAGCTCGACTGGCTTTGCCAACTTCTGCTACTTATGGCGTTGGCGTCTTCTAATGAAGCGACGAGTTTGCTGCGCAGCAGTTTGCTCCATCTTAAAATACAGGGGTAAAACATGCCCACTAAGAATAAAGGGTATTTTTAGGTTACTCGTATGTCCTGGCACCATCGAGCAAGCCATTCTGGTGTTAGGCAAGGGGTACCAGGTAAGAATGGAGCGTCGACTGATGAAGTAGTAAATCTTCATAAACAAAGGTGGTTGGGAAATGTGCTACTTTGCCGGAACACTGGCTAACTCGAAGAGCATTGTCTGAGTTGAGGGTAGGCTGGAAATAAGATATTGGCGAATAGATCAAAACTTGGCACAAATCGATGAAGTCACTGACAACTGAACATAGCCATATTAGTAGGTGGACTTCCTGGTTGGTGTCCGCCAGACGATAGTGACCGATGGTTAGAGACCTTGAATGACATGGCTCAAAATTGTTTGCACTGCCGCAGGTGCACCCATTCTTTGCTTACTCTCGAATTCTAGTTTTCTAAATTCTTCAACTTCCTTCTTCTCCTTGAATTCATTCCACTAAATTATACTTCTTGAATAATCCTATTCTTCTCCATTACCACTAATACTTTCTCTATCTCTAGCACTATGGGATTTGAGTTTTCCATTTCATCTCTGTGCCTATGTGGTATGGCAACCTGAACTGATGTACGCATGGACATAGTTCTACGTTGTAACTGACTGACTAGATTAACACTGACAAACTGGTGTATATTGACTCTCTAAATCTCGAAATTCGCTTCACGTCTGGTCAGCCTCAGTGTCTATTCTGGTCATAACAAAGTATGTTAGTGTCTTAACCATCACAACCCAATAATGAAGGTCGACAAAGCCTGTTCGGCCCTTGCTGACTTGCTATCATTGTGGAGCAAATCGATGGTCTGTCTTCCTTTCGAAAAAGCAAGTAAACCAAGCAAGAATCTACTCTTTTCTGATGTACGACTTCAAAAGTACTTGTGAGAGTGGGGAGTATCTTGGATGCTTACTACTTTATTATAGGTTTTTTTGAAGCTTTGGTTTTTTATGCTAGGGTTATGTAGAAATCTCGGGTTTAGACGTGGTTTCAAGTTGTTGATTTTTGAGACTACGAAAATTGACCCATTTTCCATCTCGAAATTCCTCTCACCTTAACGTAAACCTAACCTCAACTAATTGTAAAGGGGGTTATCTCAATATTTACGCGCCACCCAATTTATTGAGCTTATGAATGGCCTGGGATATTGCCCAAACCGAAGCAGGTGATTTTTTTGAGGACCTACTCCCTGATCCTTTGACTTAGAAGTGTAATCTACAAGGCAGTTGAGAGATATTAGGAGATGTAGTCTGTGGATTTAAAATGGTAGGACGCAAACAGAATAATCCTTATTCAACTAGAATTTCTACAAGACACAAGGAATAACTCGAATTCGAAGCATGCAGTATGAATTTGTATTGTATCATTACATCAAATTTGAATACATTTTCAAATATTTGATTGCACAATAAACATATTTTTTAATCACCGCGCCTGCCAACTGGTTAAATGTATGTCTAGGTGTTAATAATGTAGTCTTAGTTTTTCTGTAATTCTTAATTGTTCAGTATTCTGGTTTTCATTTTCATCTATCTGGAATTCAGAATAATTAAAAAGTCATTATTAACAAGAGAATCATTAGAATTGAAGTTGGAACTGTCCATTTGAAACTGAATTAGTTACAGAATGGTCAGAATTAAAATTAAATTCACTTCATTAATCGTCACTTGGTCTGCATGTCTGCTGTGAAATGAATGGCCATTCAAATCAAGAATCCTTACCATACGAATACTCGTTCCCTGAATTATAATTCATGTAGATGGTCGATAATCATTTCTTCGGTAATACTGTATTTCCGATGATGCTTTATTTACCAAATGAGTTCGAAGTATGCGAGATCTGAAGATTTTAGCTGGACTCCTATGAGTTTTGATTGTTCTGCTTTACGACATGAAGTAAGAAATTATTAGTGCATTTTTCCAGTCCCTCTAGATTACTTGGACTTACGCGTTAGAAATTTACATTTCTGTTGAGATTTTCTGCCAAACTATTAGACTGAGGATATCGTGGAGCTGTAAATAGACGATGGCATCCAATATCAGTAAACCAGCTTTTGTATTTCTTGTCCTTGAAATCAGTTCCATTCTCAGTTACTGATTGATTGGGTATCCCTTTTTGACTAAGTATCTTCCACATCGCTCTTCGATTAAAGCTTACACTAGGACTGTCTGTAAGTACTACTCCTGACCATTTGTAGTACGAAGCAGTAATAACTAAAATGGTCCAAAGTAATCTGTTGCCATGATTCATGAGATGTAAGTCAAGGATTCCAAGTACATTTATTTTAAAACAGATTATGTAAACATGCAGGCGTTTTCCGATATATATATATATATATATATATATATATATATATATATATATATATCGAAAATTTAGTCATTGTAGTTAAAATGTCAAAGACGTTCCTCGATTTCCAGCTCAGAGCCTCCAACTTCGGTTACACGGTGTTCATCTGAATCTAAAACGCATAAGCTAGATCAACTTCCATAAACCAGGTATTAGTTTCACTAGAATTATTTGCGTTTTCATTCACAACACAAACACTTCGTGTGCTCGCATCTCTATAAATTGAATCATTCAAGGATTACTCAATCAAAAGAGATGTTATGAGGTAAAGCCAAGTATTTCTTGACAGTCGGTTGGTCACGACTCTTGAAAGAAACAAACATGATTTGCGACAAATTTGAAAAACATTTTCAGTGTACTGAAATTATCATCATTTTACTAGCTATCATAAAAGGATCTCACGTGAGAGGTGTTTCGGTACCAAATAATTAGGCTTGACAGTCGAGTGTTAATTGGTTTGATAGTAAGTGATCCACAATCTACTTTCATTTCATATTTGTTTTGTGTTAATGTTTTGAATGCAAGCACGTCAATTTATTACTTGGGAAATCTATTCACTCTGCTAGTGGACTTTGATTTCTAACCCTCAGGGACTTTCGTCAATAATACGATCTCGTGAGTAGCCATCATTCGGTCACTTCATATCATATCATACATCGACTACCATTCAAGTCATCGATTTCGACTTTCGAGAATTTCATTTCATCAAACACGCAAAACTTCCTCTGTAACGATAATTTGATTGGTCGATTTTCTTTGTAATGTACGTCGCTTCATGTAATGTAGAATGTGGGTTTGAGTTAGCTTTCCTGATGAGTTCTCTCACCCAATGTGATGTGTCCTAGTAGAAGTTTTCAACCTCAAAATGGCTAGTAAAAGTTTCCAGTTTTCGAAATATATAAATATAGCCCATATCTTCGTAGTATGAACACTGACGTTTGTCGAAGTACATATCACAATACCTGATGAATGCGTTCAACACTTTCTGAATTCATTCACAACGTTGAAGTTTATGCACTCGGTTTTGAGCCACACCGTATGCATAAATCAATGGAATCCAAATGCATGTTGTTGGTTTGTACACCTGATATAATGATTAGAATACAATCCCTTCTTATCTAGGCCCAGCAGAATGAAGCTCAAATGCAGTATATCCATTTTTAGTCTAATTAAAGCCTGAGAAATAAATACGAGTGTTTCAGTGTCCTCTAATGTGGCGTTACTGTAAACCATGTACAGTTGAAATAAGTTATTAAGATTTAGCTCTAGTGCTTCCCTTTAATAAATTTTGTCACAATAATACCAAATGACCACCAAAGTGATCAATAGCTAAAGCAAACATTTTGGTCTAATTCAACTGAGAAAAAGACTAATCAGATTGCAAACAATTGAGTACAAATAATTCTCACTGCACTGAAGAAAAAAAAGGTTAAGATAATCAACCGCAAGCTCATTCTAAATAAAGCGACAAGTAACCCATAAAGATAAATGAGCAGTCATTAATTAAAGCTTAATTTGGGGTTAAAGGACAGAAAAGCTACGTTTTATGCCTGCGGAAAAGCATGTTAATTAACGAATAGAAATGGAAATTTTATCTTTCAGTTGCTAAAAACGCAAGTAGTAACATACATAGTTTTGTCCGTATAATGGGTGCATGATGCCTCTAAGAAGCTTTCAATTGTTTAGATAAACAGGTTGTTGCAGTCCTTTGATTAAGTATTCCAATCGCTTAATCTATCATTTCTTAAAGTTGATCATCTGATCACTCCTGCTTTTTTAGGCGTCGAGATGATGATCATACGCGTAACAGGAAACGTCGGTCGCGCTCTCGTTCCCGCTCTCGTTCTCCTGTCCTGCCCAGGAGGGCATTCTCATCTACTTTGGAAGGATCCCTGCCTTTAGCCGCTTCGTTACCAACATCTTCATTAATGGGTTCGTTACTGGCTGCTCAGGCGAAAGCAGCTGAGGAGGCGGCTGCCAAAGCCAAGGCAGAAAATTCTAAACCCGCAGTTGGTAGTATGACTGCTATTGCCAATGCAGCAGCTGATATGATCAAAGCTGCTCGTAGTTCTGGTCAAGGGATCGCAGGTATGGAGGGTGCTCTTGTCATTACTCCGAATATGGACAAAGATATTGAGCAGCGTCGCCTTGATCTTGAAATGCAAAAGGTAGGTTGCGACTAACTATTCTTTTCTGTCGTTCCATTTAACTACCTCGATATTCCTTAAATTATGAACTTTATATTGTAGAGACGAGAACGAGTAGAAAGGTGGCGACGAGAGCGAAGGCTGAAGCAAGATATCCTTGCAGCACAGCAGCGACTTGCCGAAAGCACGAGAGGAACTACTCTCAATAAGTGGAATCTAGAGGATGATGAAGATGAAGAAGACGCCAACAAGAAGAATACCCAGATTGAAAAACCGACAGATGATGACATTGACCCGTTGGATGCTTATATGCAGGTGTGTTTTCATGAAAACCCAACGCTTTTCTCTCGGTGCTTTTTTCGCTTGATTTCCTTTTCACTTTATCGTTAATACTTTTGATTAATGATGTGAGTGATTTGTTATGTGACTCCATTCAACCGAGGCTTTTTATACATAGGGACTTTGTGTATCGTATGTACCTCGGACTCATGAGTTTTTCTATCTTAGAATTGATACGATATCTCAAACCATCTAATTGTGGAACTTGCCAATTCAGACGACACGCTTAAAACATTTTTGTGTAGTAGTATTCCCCGCTTTCCTACGAGATATTCAGCCTAAAGGACTGCATAGTTTTTTGCTCTGAGAAAGTCAATAGTCTATATTTATTCATATAGTAAAGATCAATTGACATTTTATTGTTCGTATCGTGTAATTGTTTAGAGGTAGCTCACTATCCGCAACCTAGTTTCTGTCTTATCTTCCATGATTGTCTAGGTTCATTTTTGTGCGTGTAACGATAAATCAAAAGCATTTATAGGTAATTGTATACTGAATACATGAAACATTTCTTGAGTACAATATCATAATTTCATCGACGTTGCATCTGCGTACATAATTTTCCTCAGTGAATTTGACGGAGATATCACCTGTTAACAATCGATATCACTTAATGAAATTCGAATAATGCTTTTCGGATAATATTGTTTTATATTTCATGCATATATATTCATTAGCTTAGGATTTAAACTGTAAAATAAACAGTGCATCGATACAGTACCATATAAATCTGAAATTGACATTCTTATAGGCCTTCAGCCAAGGTATAATTTTTCATCTCACTCAAATGAAAAAGAACAAGCAAGGAAAGTTCAAGCTTCATCAAGAATTAAACATCTCAGGAGTTAATGCTTTCACTGAATTACAATAAGTATGTGCTGTTGATAAGAAACAATCGAAATCTGAGTCATCATTGTTCGTTCCTTGGGGTTAGTTTGTTCCTTAGTGATATTACTTATTACAGTGAAGATGACCATTATCCTCTTCTTCCTTACTCCACTAACTAGTATAAGTTCAATTGTTCTGTAGAAACTCTGTTGATCAAGTTTTGACCATTTATATATCAATTATAGTTTAGAAACCCAGTGGTTTTTGACCGGCTTAATTCCTGATAAAAAAATCCACTGTAAAGCTTATTAACAAAATAAATGTCGAAAATTCTTGTCTAGTCAGTAGTGATTGTATCTGGTGATTTCATTATCTCCAAAAGACCTATCGTGTTTAGCTTTACGGATTTAGTTATATAATGCCATTGATGTATCTCCCATATTGTATGTTTATCTAAGGATTAATCCTTATAGTTACAGGCCGCATAGTAGAACTTCTGGGAAGTAAGTTTTATTACATTTCCTTACAGGGTAACAACGGATGGCTCAATCTACCAGTTCCTGTAGCTCAATGGCCCGGTTCATTTTGGACAAGGTTGCTTTCTATGTTTTTTTCAATGATGTGTGGAGTATTGCCGTTTATAAAATTATCCTACCCCCAAAGTTCGTCCGAGAAGCATTTTGTATGTATTATATAGCCAACTCATAATGTGTTTGGTCTTACACTGAGTATCATCAACAACAAAGGACAAGTTTAATCTGCAGTCGATTCCTAGATCAATTCTCACGAAACGCAACTTATAAGGTAGTTTCTAGTGTCACTTTAGTCTTTGATGAATAATTATATTCCGTTTTCGCACTCACTCCTATGGGTTTCCTTGGAAGGTAGCTGTTGTTTTTCATTTATTAGGAGTAATCCACTGTTTTTTCTACATTTCAGGAGTTGAATAATCAAGTATCCTCCGGTCCTGAAACTACTAAAAATAACACTAAAATTACTAAACAACTTGAAATGTCACTAAAAACTTCTAAGGATACTGATCACGCTTCTTCAGATCCCTCAGTCAAACCTAAACAGCAGTTAGTAATTAAACGGAAAAGAATTATTGGGCGAGGTGAACTTATGGAAAGTAACATAGATGAATTAGAATATTCATCTGAAGAAGAAGATACAACAATTGAGGATGCATTGGCTCAGCTACAGAAAAAAGACAAGCTACAACCTATTGATCATTCCAAAATTGAGTATTTCCCTTTTCGAAAAAGTTTTTATGTAGAAGTTCCAGAACTAGCAAAAATGTCAAAGGAAGATGTTAAAGCATATAGAGCTAGTTTAGAAAATATCCGCGTCCGTGGTAGAGAGTGCCCTAAACCCCTACGCAATTGGGTCCAAGCAGGCATTAGCTCTCGCCTTTTGGCTTGCTTAAAAAGGTATGTTTTTTTCGATCACCAACATTTTGTTTATTCGGTAAGCCACACAAAACCATCACGATCTAATTCCTATTTTAGTTTCTGGTTTTCTTTCAAGTTCACAATTTTTTATCTTGAACGCGCGAAAACTTTATAATGATATAAATTCACTGTTCACTATGTAGTTTAAGCTCACTAATCACGTTCTTTGGTCTCAGTTCCGATGTTTAGTTGTAATGTAATTCATTATTAAACACATCTGTAGGTTTGTTGGCTTTTGCACAATTTTTTCCTGTTATAAATCTGGATGAATTACGAATAAAAATCATAGTAGAGTAATAAGAATTCACTTATTTCCCGGATCCGCTTCATCTGTTCACAACCCAGAAACTACATCACTAATAATTTAAAACCAGTGCGTCCACTTTATATCATATTATTTGAAAGTCTTCAGTAAAGACCAGTGAAAATACAACAAATGTGGCAGGATTATGAGAAGTGTTGAATATTTATTTGTTAACCAGTGTGAACATTCTAGAAAAGCGGAACTGATGTCGATAAGTACGTCATGACAACGACAGAAAATTCTCGGATCAAAGCGAAATAGAAAAAAAGTTAAAAAATATGCATGGATGAAGGAATTCATAATTAAAAGCCAGAAATACATAACTGGCATTGTACATTTTGTCACTAGTACAACCACTCTCAAATGTAACTCATGTAATGAGCCGGAAAGTTGTATCGATAAAAAATTTCGTTCATTGTATATTCGCTCAAATAACGTTCATTTCATCCTTTTTTTCTCAGGAATAATTTCGAAAAACCTACTCCAATTCAGTGCCAGGCGTTACCCGTCATAATGTCTGGTCGTGATATGATTGGCATCGCTAAAACAGGAAGTGGAAAAACTCTAGCTTTTTTAGTGCCACTTATGCGTCACTTGGAACATCAAGCTCCTCTGAATCCTGGAGACGGCCCAATCGCCCTTCTGTTGGCACCTACTCGAGAACTCGCATTGCAAATATTTAAAGAAACGAAAAAGTTATGCCAAGCCGCTGATGCTCGCGCAGTTTGTGTCTATGGTGGGACTGGTATTAGTGAACAGATTGCCGAACTTAAACGCGGAGCAGAAATTATTGTCTGTACACCTGGCCGGATGATCGATATGCTTGCTGCTAACGGAGGTAATTGTTTAATCTAGAAACACCTAGCTGTCTATTGAATTTATTTCTACTGCTTATTTTCATAGGAGCGCACGATATCATAAAATTTGACAGTTCTCGACAGCAATTTATCCATCACTAAACATAAAATGTTTGGTTTGAATGTTTCGCTCTTTTAAGGAGGGAACTGTTGTGTGAGGTCATTAATACAAATAGTACACATTCAATATTTTGATTATGGTATGAATATCGTGTTAATATTTTCAGATAAACCATAATAGTCCATTCGTCCAGTTGAATTTTCCTTAAGTGCGTAATTAATGGTTTGATATTCTTGTTGATCTTTCTAAAACCTAGGGAGAGTAACAAATTTACATCGGTGCTCATATGTGGTTCTTGATGAAGCAGATCGTATGTTCGATTTGGGATTTGAGCCTCAGGTGATGCGGATCATTGAAAATTGTCGTCCTGACCGCCAGACTTTGATGTTTTCAGCTACATTTCCTAGACAAATGGAAATACTTGCCCGTAAAGTACTAACACTTCCCATAGAAATCCAAATTGGTGGGCGTTCGGTTGTATGTTCAGACGTGGAACAGCATGCGGTGAGTCAGCTCAACTGTAGTATTGGGTTTGTAATGAAATGTTATTACCTGTTTCTGAGTTTGTTGAATAGAAATATATATATATATATATATATATATATATACCTTTGAATCTAATGAATTCATAAATTGCTAATCATTGACTTCATGTAATATAGTTTAGCTATTCTTCCTTTCAATTTCAGTTCATCCTATCAGAAGAAGAGAAAGTTTACAAGGTTCTTGAACTACTAGGTATTTACCAAGAAGAGGGTAGTGTCCTCATATTTGTAGAAAAACAAGAAAGTGCAGATGAGTTAATGCGTGTACTTTTGAAGTATGGTTATCCATGTCTTTCTCTTCATGGTGGCATTGATCAATATGATCGTGATTCCGTTATAATGGATTTTAAACGTGGTAATATTCGTCTCTTAATAGCTACTTCCGTTGCCGCTCGTGGTCTTGATGTTACTGATTTGCTTCTGGTTATCAATTATGACTGCCCAAATCACTATGAGGATTATGTTCATCGTTGTGGGTGGGTTTTATATGTCTTTCTAATTGTATGTTCTGTAATTTTTTCATGTGTAACAACAGTTCGTATTTGCTATTTCTATACATAATTCTAGCGGATTTTTCGCGAATACTAAATTAATATTAATTAAATCATTCTTTTAGATAACGATATGATAACTTTACTTACCTACTTACTTACTTAGGCGCGTTACCCTCAATGGAGCATAGGCCGCCGACCAGTATTCTCCAGCCAACTCTGTCTTGAATTTTCCTTTCCAGTTCTGTTCAGTTTTTGTTCATTCTTCTCATGTCGGTCTCCATTTTTCGGCGTAATGTGTTCCTTGGCCTTCCTCTTTTTCTTTGTCCTCGAGGGTTCCAAGTGAGGCCTTGTCTTGTGATGCAGTTGGGTACTTGTCTCAATATGTGACCTACCCATTCCCAGCGCTTCTTCCTGATTTTCTCCTCCACTGGAATCGGGTTTGTTCTATCCCACAGTAGGTTTTTACTGATAGTGTTTGGCCAATGGATCCGAAGTATTTTGCGTAGACAACTGTTAATGAATACTCGAATCTTTTGCATCACGGCTCCATGTAGTAGAACAGTCTTTACATTTGTATTGAAAATCCTGATTTCGGTGTTGACTGATATTTGTTTGGAGTTCCAGATGTTGTTCAACTGTAGAAATACAGTCCTTACTTTTCTGATCCGCGCCTTCACATCTGCATCAGATCCACCTTGCTCGTCAATGATGCTGCCCAGATATGTAAAGGTTTTAACTTCCTCCAAGGTATCTCCATCAAGAGTGATTTGGTTGGTGCATGCAGTTTTGTGTTGGAGAATGTTGCATTTCCCTTTGTGTATGTTGAGACCTGCTGCTACACTAGTCGTCTTCTGTTGAATTTGTTGTTGCATGTGTTATAGAAGTGCCAGATCATCTGAGAAGTCCTTATCTTCCTGCTGCGTCCTAGCTGTCCATTGGATACCGTGCTTCTCTCCAGATGTTGACGTCTTCAGAATCTAGTCGATCACCAGGAGAAAGAGAAAAGGTGAGAGTAAGCAACCTCGCCTGACACCGATCTTCACCTTGGACGAGTCTATCAGCTGTTCTTCGTGCAGTTTAATCCATCGTAAGAATTCCGTATGATGTTAACTATTTTCTCAGGCACGTCATAGTGTCGAAGAAGCCTCCATAGTGTTGTCCTGTTCGCGCTATCTGATGCTTTCTCGTGATCAATGTAGTTGATGTAGAGTGTGGAGTTCTATTCAATTGATTGTTTTACAATGATCCGTAATGTTGCGATTTGGTCGGTACATGATCGATCCTTACGAAATCCAGCCTGTTCATCTCGAAGTTGGGTGTCTACAGAGTCCTTCATTCTATTTAACAACACCCTGTTGAAGACTTTGCCTGGTATTGAGAGAAGAGTGATGCCTCTGTAGTTCCCACACTTACTGAGCTCACCCTTCGGTACTTTGACCAAGTGTCTTTCTTTTCAGTTTATTGGTACTTGTTCTTCATCCCAAATCTGTTTGAAGAGAATGTGGAATATTTTCGCATTCGCAGCCACGTCTGCTTTCATTGCCTCTGTTGGAATGTTGACTAGTCCTTCTGTTTTGACTATCTTGATTTGTCTGATGGCCATGCTGATCTCTTCAATTATTGGTGGACCAACACTGATTGGGAGGTCTGTGGATGCGGCCTCGATGCTGGGTGGGTTCAGTGTGGCTTGTTGATTCAAGAGTTCCTTAAAGTGCTCTACCCACCTGTTTCGCTGTCCTTCAATGTTGCTGATTACTATGCCTTCCTTGCTTCTCTCTGGTTGTTCTTGTTTACGGTAGTTTCCAGCGAGCTTCTTTTTTATATCTGTACAATTGTTTGATGATAACATTAATTCGTATAATAGTCTTCCCAAATGCTATGACTTCATGATCTTTTTTCTACGGCGTCAAAATAAGATATCTTCAAACTGTACCATTGCTCCTGTATCCTGGGACAACCGTATAAGCGATGCTGTCGTTAGGAAACGAGTTCTAGGTAGGGATGGCAAATCAATAGATGAAGTATTGAAACTTCATCAGTTGAGGTGGTTGGGACATGTGTTACGTATACCTAACCACCGACTGCCGCGACGAGTTATGTGTTGTGGTGTAGGAATAGGTTGGAAGAAAGCTAGGGGTGGCCAAACCAAAACATGGCAGAAATCCATGAAGTAACTGACTAGTGGACTGAGTCATGTTGGTAGATTTAGGCTACGTGGTTGGGGTTCGCGAGACGAAAGTCACCGATGGTTAGAGACCTTGAACGACATGGCTCAGAATCGTTTGCAATGGCGCAGGTGCATCCACTCTTTGTGCTCTCTCTAATTCTAACCTTCTGAATTATACTTATCGAATCATATCTTTGCTCCCTAATCTTCTCCATTACTGCTAATACTTCTAGTATCGCTATCACTCTTGGATTTGAACTGACAGTTGCGTCTCTGTGTTGATGTGGTATGGCATCGTGAATTAATGTACTTACGTGTTTGTTTGCAGTTGATACGTAATACATGATTTTCCTTTTCATGGTGACTTGAAGCGTTAATCATTGTAACTCATTTGTGTCCTTATATTTCAGACGTACTGGACGTGCTGGCCGAAAGGGTTTTGCCTATACTTTTCTTACTCCTGACCAAGAACGTAGTTGTGGAGATGTTGTTCGAGCATTCAAGCAGAGTGGTCAGAAGCCACCTGAGGAACTAATGAATATGTGGAATGCTTACAAGATCCGAATGGAACATGTATGTCTTTGTCTGTTTGTTCATCATTGTATTCACTAATTGTTTGGTGGTAGTCTTTTTGTTTAACTAAAGTTTGGTTTTCATGTCTATCAGTATACAACAAGGGTAAGCGATTCCAAATGCTTTATCCCTCCTAAATCAAAAAGTGTTCAAAAATCGTTCAATTTTGTTAGCGGGACGTAGATTGGATTAAAGCATGATTGCGTTATTGCACGCTGAGTGATTATTTCGTATCCAATCAGCGCTAGCCAATACTGGGGGAACATTCTAGAATCTTCTCAAGTAAAAGCTATAAATATACTAATGTTTTGAACTTCCATGTCTTCCATTAACCGTGTTAGTGGAATATAATCTATTTCCTGCTCAACTGTGTTCTGATTTAGCAGAACGTCTCGAGTGAATTGGTGTCCGAGAATACTAAACATTAGGAATATTCACAATGGGTTCTCACCACCATTCATCCACTGTAACGTACTAAACATGAATTTAATCGATGCAATGCATGTTTAACTTAAGTTGTTTGGGAACTGCTCAAATTAGGATTTTTTCACTTTTTCTCTATTGAGAGTCTTTTATCAGTTCCAGCCGCAACTAGTCATGTTTCATTATTCCAGTTGCAGTTTTTTGAACGCTTGCACGATTTCTTTCTTTTTTATAAGAAAAAGTAACATTTTTGACTTTGGGAAACAATCTTCTTAGAGTTTTTCATTGTTTTTCAAAGTATATTTTTACTTTACCTATAGTGTCAACTTGTGTCTGCAACAAATCAAATGTCTGACAAGTTCTGCTTGTAAACGGAGACAAATAAACTTATCCCATTGTGAACGATTCTGTAAATGTCCAACAAGGAAACATCCTTTTTAAGAAACGTCTATATTCACTACTAAGAATTATTTAAATTCATGCTCACGACTACAGCCAAACATCTCTGATATCCTTTGACCGTAGTGATCGAAATTAGGTGTCTTATTGAGTATTCACTTCTACACAAATAAAAAGGTTACAAATATTGTATCTAAGTCTTCCTGATATTTCCAGTGTAATAAAACTGACGTAAGCAATTCAATTTCAGTGTTTATGGGTTCATTTTTTGTATTTTACTAACTGTGTTAATTGATTACATTACAATCACTTATTAGGAAGGAAAAAAAGTATACGGTTCTTCAGGTTTCCGTGGTAAAGGATTCATGTTTGATGAAGTGGAGGCTCAGCTGAATAGTGAAAAACGGCGTCTTCAAAAAGCTGCTCTCGGTTTACAAGATTCAGATGATGAAGATGGTGATGGAAATGTTGACTGGGATTCAAAAATTGAAGATATGTTAGCCACGAAAACGAAAATCAAAGATATATCAAAGAGTAATATAACGGAGAGTATTTCTGAAAGTGCTGAGATTAGGTAAGTGAATTTTCTAATAATATATGGTTAATTACAAGTCAACATTTTTGCTCTCAATTTAAGAAAGAATGTTTAAATCGCTACCAATAAATCAAAAACTTTTAACCTTTTTAGCTTTTGTACAAATTCGAAACTTTCCTTCAAACTGAAGAATACTAGTTTCTTACAAATCGGTTGCAAACAATACTGTCATATACTGTCGATCACAAATATAAGATCACTGTTTATCTGCGTAGATTTTACTCACCGTGTATTCCGACCACATCAGCACTCTTTCCTGGTCAAATTAGCACTATTTCATTATTTTTAAAACTTAACACTGTCTGATGACTCGTTCTTGGAATTTCGGTATGCGAAATTGTCGTTATAGGGTGCCAATTGACAATATCAACTTCTTTAGACTATGGCTAGTTTCATTTCTCAGTATTTTTGGGTTGCGACTATGAAAATGGTTAATGTAAATACCCAAACTGAGTTTCTGTATTGATTCTACTATACTTAAGTTTTACTTAGTTTTAGATTATGTATGTAATTCTCACGATGTCTAGGAGAGCCTTTGGACTTTCACACTAAGTCAGTCATATTTTTGAAGTTTTGATTCACTGTTTTAATGATCAAAGTTCATTTGATAGTTATTCCCTTAATAATTATAAATAATAAATTTTCTCAAAAGTCTGTTTGACTCCTTAAAAATATGATCTTTTGACTGAATAAAGACACTTTTCATACTACGTAATGTAACTTATTCCGTAAATTTTTGTTTTCAAATTCAGTGCTCAAGCTGGACAAGCTGTTGTGAACGCAGCTTTAGCACTTGCTCGACAAAAAGCTGCACAGTTAGGACTCGTTAAAAACCTAACTTCCTGTGCTCCGGTTGTTGCACAATCAAACGCTGTTGCGAATGCCACCACAGTCAGCGAATCCAATCCTGCAATTGCGGCTGCAGTCGCTGCCGTCACGATACCTGTGCCTCCAGCCCCCACGAGCCGTACGTTAGCTGAACAAGCTGCCGAACGTTTAAATGCTAAACTTGGTTACACTAAACAAGCAACAGGTGCTGGTGATGAGGACGGTGCTGGTGCTAATACTAGTGCAGGAAGTGACATGGTTAGAAGGTAATAGTTTTCCTTCAACAAAATTATTAATCATTTAGAAACAAATACCTTTTTTATTTGTCTTCTTTGTATCATTATCTTTAAATTTCTTTTCCTCAACACTAAGGAGTTGAACTAATGACACAAACTATCTTCTCGCTGCTCGCAATAATTTGATAAAAAGCGTTACTACTTATTGTCAGCTAGTTTGTCGCAGTTATCATTAGTAATTATTATCAAAAGTCCGGTCCGGTCCTTCAAACAAACAAATGGATTTAAAAGCTTTGTTTCAAAAACGATGATTTACCATCAACAACGTATTTAATACATAGTCTGTATAGTGTTATTTCCTGTCACACTGTTCATCGTCAAAAAACTGACAAATGCTTAGTCTACGTTTTTAACTTTGGTGAAACGTCAGTGTAAACTCCTAACCGTTCCCATCAAATTGTCATCCACATACCTAGTTTTAGGTTCAATAATTATTAATGAGAAACGGAAATCTAATTAACTAATTGGCTGTTTTTCACCAGGTTCCATTATTTTCTTTTAATATGAAGTATGTACCGGTTCAATAAAAGCCTGTTCTATTTTTCCGTGCTGATAATATTCGAATATATCTAGCTGATCTTGGTTTTATTAGAACTCTGTTATGCGATTAATAATATCCATAGTATTGTAATGATATGTGTATTGTTTATGTTGCACGATGATATCTGTGATTATTAGTTAATCTTACCGCTTAACACAATTTATTTCCAACCTCATCAATGGTGTAGGTACTATTACAGATGGTAAAACTGTAAACAACGGCTAGTTACCACAAGTATTTTATTCAGAGTAACTTGATTCGGTACTTTTTAGTAATTACGAAAGCTCTGACATTGTTAATCAGAATGATGATGAAAGATTTGCAAATAGACCATCCAACTCAGGACTGTTTAAAACACTTACTTAAGTTACAATTTCCTTCCATTTTACGTAACAGAATCATCGTCGCAAACCTCAGCAATCGATTAACAACAACAGAATCAGTCTTAAAAGTTTATGGGATCTCCATGAATAATAATTTAATGTTACCAGTTTTTCATAATTGGTGTAATGTACTCCGAAATAAAACACTTGATATATCAGGGTTAAATTTTTCTGAAGAATATGATACTCGTGTTTATGCATAATGGATCCATTTCAAATTGCAGATACGAAGAAGAACTAGTTATCAATGACTTCCCACAAAACGTCAGGTGGCGTATCACTGGTCGTGAAATGCTCAATCACCTCAGTGACTATTGTGATGTTGGTGTATCTGTTCGAGGAGTGTATATGCCACCAGCGAAAGCTAAGCAGCACATACCTGAAGGTACGGATGACAGACCACTGTATCTATGTATTGAGGCTGTCAACGAAAGACAGGTCGCTTTGGCTAAAAAAGAAATCATGCGTATTATCAAAGAAGAACTAGTTAAATTGGTATGTATTAATTTCACGTTTACGCTTTGCCTATCAGTACATTAAATTTCTGACTTTCATGTACCTGATTATTATTCACATCAAGGGATAATGGATTAACCATCCATTTCAAACTGCTGGAAACTTCATTTAGATTGTATTCGTAAAGTTATTACTATTGATTATTATTATTATTATTATTATTATTGGTTCAGCATAATTAATTATCTGCCGAACATATGACTAATTACTTTACTCATTCAGCCTACTTCATTCTTTCATTTCATTGTGATTATCACTCAAATTGCCTTGATTGGTTTAACATTTTCATACTTCATTCTTTGTCATTCAATTAGTATTCCTTCATACACGATAGAGTCTTTTACTTAACGTTCGAGTGAATTTCTAATCGCATTATTTTATCCCTCACTCTAGTAGACCCATAATTATTTTGATCAGCGTTTTAAAAATTTAATCCATCGTATAGGTTGATTCAAAGTAACACTACACGCTAATCTTTTCAACGTCAATTTTTTTTAATTCTACAATGCTAAACTCAAACGATGTATTTAGTCTTAAATCTGGTCATTTTTAGATTATGGATGTGATATATAATGGTAGGACTTGAAAAGTATTTATTCAGACTAATATTACTTGTTCGTATATCGATACTTTTATCTTTTGGATTCAAAAGTAGTCTCCATTGTTATTAATTGTATGAGTAACTTGTTCTCTCATATATATATATATATATATATATATATATATATATATATATATATGCATATACGTATCGTTTGTAATTGTTGAACATCATTAAGACTTTTTCGTTGATGCGATGCAGATTTGTATTTTTATTCTCACATCTTATCAGGAGAACCTAAAAAGAATAGTTATGTGCATCTTAAGAATATTGTCATTGTATATCGATGAATGTTATACGCATGTTAAAGTTTTCTATTCCTTTTCTATCAATCTCCTAACCTCGTGTAATCGTGTTTCTACTGTATTTTTATTATTTCTAGCAATCTGGAAATTCAATAAATCGTGGACGCTACAAGGTTGTTTAATTTAACTTTTTGGTATTTCTATTTGAATTGTTGTACATACGCTAGCTGTAACGATATCTACATTGGCAATACCAATTTATTTATATAAATAAACGTTTTCTTTTCATAAACATTTTAGTTTTATTGATATATTGAAACTGAAATAAGAACGAGCTGTTCAACTTATCACGTCGCTTGTAACTCATATCAATCAAACACTCGTTTGGGTTTAGCTAACTGGTTATTTATCAGACTTCCAAGCATTGTATTTTGCGTTTAAGCAGCGCGGTTCGTAAAAAATCAATGATTACAGTCTATTGTTATCTCACCAATTCTATTTGATTTTGACCAATTCGGTCTCGCGTGCTGTTATGGGTATGAGGGCGGTTGTCACTTCCCGGCTGCCCACACCGTGGAAGGTTGTTTCTTGAGGAACCTGAAAAGGAAGATAGATTAGTGTTGGTGCGTGACCGCAGAGCCCAAGGGACAACTGCTTGAGGCCAGTCACGCATGGCCTTTTTATCAAATGTTTTTTGAGGATTAGCTCCGTTCTTAAAGGCCCTTAGTGGGCACCCTTACCCAAGGAGACGGAAATCCGTGAGTTAGGGGAGGTGTGACATTTTTAGGGCCGACCTTTTCTAACCCTTCCTTCCTTGTGAGAAGGCAGCATCGCTGCAGATGCTGGTTGTCCGAGGGAAACACCTTACTGCTGTCACACCCCTCTGCAGTCAGCAGTACGACTTCGCCCTCAGACCTTGGGTAGCTGCTTTTAGTCTCATCGTTCTCCAATCGACCTGCCTGGCATGGTAGAACCTTGAGGAACATATGTTCCAGCCAGTATAGCTCGGTTGGGTCATCACGATAGGCAAGCCCGACCACCACGTCAAGGTAGCAGCTACGGTCGGGTAGCAGCTACGGTCGGGTAGCAGCTACGGTCGGGTTAGCAGCTACGGTCGGGATTGTTATCTCACCAATTCTATTTGATTTTGACCAATTCGGTCTCGCGTGCTGTTATGGGTATGAGGGCGGTTGTCACTTCACTACCTCTTCTTCTATTGGATTTGAATTGACAATTATATCTCTGTGCTGATGTGGTATGGCGACATGAACTGATGTACTTACGTACGAAGTTCTACGTTGCAACTGACTGAATTCTATTATTAGAAAATTTAGGAAGATTCTCAAAGCACTTTTATCTTCATAATCTTATCACCTTTTTCGTCCCGTAAATATCCTCTTGGCTATCTCTTTGACACAGTTCTACTAAATTATTGCGGTTATTTACCACCACTCTTTATTTTCCTAATAACTAGTTAGTTCAGCTGCGCTATTAATTGCTTTCAATATTAAGTGTCCAAATAAAGTGAATGGGACTCGTAACAGACTAGTGGTATTATGGGTTTGTTTCGTTTGAATTTAAAAATGCCTTGTATCAGAGTATCAATGGTTTATATTTATTTCATCTAGCATGGGTCCTCATAAACTTGGAAATATCCCGATGCTGTCCTTGGATTAGTCACTTTCATTGTGAGATATTTTAATTTGTGGGGACCTCATTGTCACTTATTTCCCGTTTCCAAGTGTACAGTAGAAGACTAGTATAATTTATTGCGTTAACATCTGTAACTGCTTTTTCTGAAATCAGGCTTGCATTTATTGGATTAGGTTAAATCCCTTTAAATTCTAATCCAATGAAAACCACTTCCTAGAATATTTCTTGTCTCCAATGAAAGGATATTTTCGAATGCCTTCAATTCAATCTTGCTTGGTTTCAAATAAGTCTCGGGTGCGAACAGCCGGATTTTTATAACACTACGCGCTTAAGGAGTAGAAAGAAAACGGTTTGACGATGAGACGCAGCACTTCGGAATCCACGTAGTCAGGAAGTGTAATGAGACATAGTACATACAGATATTCGTATATAGTGTCAGTTTAATGTCACAGGGCCTCTGAAAATCGTCATTGAAGGGGAACTGTGGCCACACTAGACAAAAAAACAAAGAATGTTAGACGTTCCGCCTTACACTGCCAAGGAAAGCTAACATGGAATGACCTGTTGTACACAATGGTCTGGAGCACATCAGTTTAGTTCTATTATGTGTTTCCTTAGTTTCTTTCTACATGTTTCATAAGTGATTGTCTTCTACCAAATTGCACTACCCATGGTACAGGCGAAATATCGGTTTGCTAACCAAAAGATCAGTGTACTGCTCACCAGTCTGCTCCGTCCTACAATACGGATGCGAAACGGCCGGCGTAGGTCAAGGACGTTCTTAGTTTGCTTGTCTTCGGTCGTAAGTGTCTCCGAAGCATTGCTCATATATTCTGGGACGACCGAGTAAGCAATGCTGTTGTTAGGAAACGAGTACTAGGTAGGCATGACAAACCAATGAAGTCCCTGACGAGTGGACTGCGTCATGTTGGTAGATGTAGAAATGCAGACGAGACCGGATTGGTCGCAATCAAATCCTTTTTACACCTAATAGCTCTCTTACTTCGAAAAAATCTTCCTTCGGTCGTTTATCACCTCGACCTGCTGAAGCAAACAGTTTAAAATCGCGAAACATTATTTGTCTCCTGAAACTTCATACAAATCAGATAGGACAACAAGCTTCCTTAGCCAGGGTTTTAGAATCGCAACCCATCGATGTATACGGCGTCCTTAAAAACAGAATCGACTTCATTTCGTCCATAAGAATACCCAACTTGGTTTAGGCTCTGTGTATCTGGAAGCCCTGTTGCTGCTTCTCGCGATCTCGCTGGTGTAGGTATAGCATTGAGTCGTAGGGCAGAACTAGCGCTCCTAGACTGGATCCCTGTAGATAGTCATTTGTGCGCCGTCCGACTGAACGGGACAGTAAAGACTCGGAAAGATAGTGACACTCGTCGTTGGCTCTTCGTCGTATCTGCCTATGCCCTCACTGATTGCAGTTCAGATGAGCTTTACAAAAAGCTTTCGAACCTCCTCCAAAAAACTAGGCGGTCGGATGTAGTAATAATGGCTGGTGACTTTAATGCTCAAGTAGGTAGACTAAGTGAGCAGGAGAGACACCTTGGTGGATGTTATGGTGTCGCAGCTCAAAGAACAGACAATGGCGACCGTCTGTTGCAAGTATGATCAGATAACCGCCTATTTCTAGGAAACACTAACTTTAGGCACAAGGAAAAGCAGCTTTTGACATGGTGACCCCCAAAGTCGTCACAATGCTGGACCCAACTAGATCACATTGCCATCAGTCACCGATGGAGAGGTTCGATAGAGGACTGTCGCCGTTCTGGGGCACATGTCTAGATTCAGATCATGCCCAAGTGCGAGCGCGTATTTGTTTGCGACTTGCTGGAGGTAGGAAAGACACCGCTAGGAAACCTGTTAGAGTTCTACTTAATGATAGCATATCTATGGATATATTTCAGGAACAACTAGAAAAACAGTTAGGCAACCGTGTAAGTGATCTCCATCCGGTGGCAGCTTGGGATGATATCAGAAAGGGTGTGAAAACAGCGGTTTTATCTGCCAGCAAGGTTAACCAAAAGGCTCAATAGAAGCGGTGATTTCGTTAGCATCTACCGAACTTATGGATGCTCAGAAACTCATCCTGTCTGGCTCTGAGTGTTATGAGGACTTGAATGGGCTTAGGCGCATGCTGATGAAAACCCAACACAGCGATTGCAAACGGCATTGGGTAGCGAAAGCGAGAGAGATGTAAAGAGCAGCAGCGATAGGCATTAAATCAGCCTTGTTAACGAGAATAAGTGCGAGTGTGACTATTTCAGAAAATGATGACCTAATTAATAATCTTCATTCGAGGAGACTGTATAGATTGGCAAAGCAATCTATGAATCAGTTCAACTTACCTTCAGTCACACTTCGGTTGCCCAAAACCTCCATTAGATCAGGATGGAACAACGAGCTAAGTCATCCGACTGTTTATGAAGCAGAAAAGGAGATAAAAAATTTCATGCGAGGTTCCTAATAGATTGACCGTTGATATTTTTTAGCATGGTGGTGCAGTTATAAAAGTTTGATTGACTGAGATCTTAGGTAAAATTTTGGAACTGGCAGTAATCCCATCTGACTTATCGCAGCCCTCGTTTGTCCTATTTTATATAAGGAAACAAAAGTCTTTCGCCAAACTGCGTCACTGATGGCGAAGGACAGATATGCATTTGCTAATCAATGGATGAGTGTACTGAGCAACAGTTCGCTCTGTCCTACTTACTGGCTGTGAAAAGTGGCCAGTCAGGGTTGAAAATGTTCGTAGGTTGCTGGTTTTCGATCAAAGGTATCTCAGTAGAATCGCTCGTGTATCGTGCCACTACCGAGTAAGCAATGCTGTTGTTAGGAAACGGATGCTAGATAAGGATACCAGGCCAATAGATGAAGTAAAACATATCATCCGGTACGTAAATCATATAAGAATTAGGATTGAATTTATTATCAGTATCGCTTCTACTGAATTGTTCTCTAGATCAATTAAAGGAGAAAACACTGATAATCGATCTAAGATTTCATTTTCTAATCTATACTGTAGTGTCTACGTAGCTACATAGTTACATGTTGAATGTTAAAATGCCGATCGAACACCCTCTGCTTGTGATATGTCCAGTACATCTAAAATCTTTTCCGACTACTTGTGAAACTTGATTCTGAAGAACCATTAATTGTCAAGCGTCTACTTCTCACTGTATGATAATTTCGTAAGAGCCCAGAAAATTGACCAGGCAGAGACTCAAACCAGATGAGCATACAGGTGCCAGGAAATCCTCTGACCACCTCTCAAATTTGTTGTAACGTGGCGGCCCATCGAGACTCCAGGAAGCCATCTAATGAACTGACAATTTACAAAAACCTCAAATTATAGAATTGCTAGACTGATTGATTCCCTCGCAGATTTTTTAACCCGTGTTTTGATGGTGAGAGAATAGAATAAAACTTGTTTTCGAGGAATACTTTTGCATTACTATTCATCTTTGCCTTCGTATAATTATCATTTTAATGTAGTATTAAACTGCTACTGTCTGCTCGTTATAAGATTTCGACGGTCCACAGTGAAACTCGTATGGTCAGAATATAGAGTAGAAGAATACTTGTCGAAGCTATTTATGCCAACACAAGAGCAAGCATGCAATCTGTGCAAATGATAGAGATATGTATGTATTTATTATACGACAAATTATTAATAGATAAACGGAGGACTTTGGTGTTTCTGGATTTTTTTGCTCAAAAGTAATAATGTTTAATTTTTCGAACACCGAATAGGAATACAAAGTTCAAACAATATTCTACGGCATGCAAATCGTGGTTATTCCATAGTGTATTAATCGTGAACGATTGTTCAGCACAAGTGAACTTTGTTTGCAATCACTGTGGGTTAAAATTTTCTCTATGATTCACTCAGATTTTGTCACTGGCTACACAGAGAGAAGATCTGAAAAAATATGTCGCCTTCTAGGCAATCAGATTTTACCAAGCCGATTTCCAGGATGATTTTAAGTTCTATGTTCATCCTTATTTTAGGACCTTTCATGATTCGTTTCGATAGGTTGTTTTCGTCAGTCAAGAGGTACTTGTATGTGCAAGATTAATTAATGTTTTCTGTTGTTTCCTTTTCTTTCTTACATGGCTTTGTCTTAGATGCTTCAATCACCTGAACTGCAGTATTCGCAGATATGTCAGTCAGAAGTAATTTGCTTGCCATTTTCCACGTAGAAGATACAGTGCGCCCTTTTGAACCTCATTTTTATACGTTTAATCCTGATAGTGTCTTTTACTTTAGCTCATTGATACATCTGCAAGCGAAATTGTTGGGACACCTACTTCGACCGACGTGAGTGTTCGTTCTAGCCGTAAATGTTTAATGCTCACAATTCGACGTATTTTAAATATCTCGAAGGTTAAAAATATAGTTGACATAAAAAAACTTACAATTTTAACACAACTGCGAATTATAGCTCTGTTGAGCATGAGGTAATAGTTCACTCCGTCCTTCTCATGATTCCATTTTCGTTAACATGAACACTGTAATAAGTCAACATTCCATCCTACTTAAATGGTCAGGGATCAGAACGACGCATCCGTATTGGAAGTTTCTGCACATGTCCCCTCTTTCACTGTGACTAACATCAGGGATTTGGGATTTACATTCTGCATCACGACGTAGTAATCACCACCATGCCTCTTCGAGAAAATCCTCGAAAAATTGTGCATCAAACAGTGAGCACAGATGACCACAGCTCCCTCAGTGGATAGATTCAGGGAGAGAATTAACAAATACGCACTCACACATGGATTATCATGTCCCTCTTGGAACAACTGTGTCTGATACTTGTCTCAAAACTTGCTATTTGTTATGATTACCATTGCCACAGATTAATAAATTAATTTATCGTGATTACTATCTCTTGTTCTTCTCCTTAAGGCCGCTGGATATTCAGTGCATTAGTTGGGGAGCTTTTTCTGAGGGGAAAAATGGTTCTGGATTTTGGCTGACCAAGGTTTAAACGTGTGCATGAGAAATTAACGACCTTGAAAGGATTATCAAATCGTCGTAACCTAACTTCTTTCATCATGTGGGGAGATGTTTTTCTGTGTTTGTTCTCTTCAGCAATATACTTAAATTCTTTGGGATGCGGCTTTGTTTTTGACGACGTGTCAGCCATTAGAGACAACCAAGATCTACGTCCTTCTTCGAGTTTATTCGAGCTTTTCAAAAATGACTTTTGGGGGACTCCTATGAATGAAGTCTGATGAAATTATTATAAGTCTTATATCTTCAGGAAAGAAGCCACAAATCATATCGACCATTCACTGTTCTTACATTTCGAGCTAACTTTTTGCTCCACGAACTTAGTCCCTTAGGATATCATGCCATTAATATCATCCTTCATTCCTTAGTCGTGTTTTTGTTTTCCAAGTATACTGAAGTTTCAAAATAAAGTTTTAGATTGTGCTTGTGCTACTTACATAATGAGTCAGCGTTTTTCAGCTCTATTTTATTCGCTGCACACCCGGTGCACACGGAAGCCGTAGGAATCAATTATCTTTAGTAAAATATATTTAGGTAACTGGGGTTGTAGGAAGAGCTGAACTTCTGTCTACAGTTTTTTTCTTGTCTGCTTTATTGCTGTATATAAAAATATCAAATGAATGTGCATCAAGTAAGTTTCACCGTTATTTGTTGGGCAGTTTTCATTCATTTTCTTGTCATTTGTCGATAAAGTGTTTTAATTCGTTACCTATCTGTTCCGCAGCCATCCCTGCATTAAAGAAATTATATAACTGCACAAAAGTCGGCCGCAATGAATATTCATGGCTAATCTAAATGCTCTAGGACGTGTGGAATAAACATGGACAGTAAACACTCATATGGTCTAAACACAGTTTAGATTGATTTAATTTCTTCGTCCTACCCTGATAGCCCTCCTAATAGGCCTAAAATTTCGAGCTGGCAAAATACTATATCTAGATTTTAGAAAGTAATACTATTCTGTCTTAGCTACATAACCCGGAAGACAATTCTGGTCCGTAGTTTTTTACTCTATCCCAGAGAGCTGTGTTTTCAGATGTATTGATTGTAGCAGGTGGTTGTACTATCAAGCCAAAATCAAAAGAGACTTGATTTTTAATCAACAGAAAGTCTGCGTGATGATGACAGGGTGCAGTGGTACTCGAAAAGAACAAAAAGAAAGGAAAAATGCAATATCTTTAATAATTTATGGGTGATATTCAGCAAAACTATACTAATAAGCTTTATCTCTATTTTTACCAACTAATATAATAATGGTCTTCATCCATTTGCTATAATGCATTTTAACAATCATTCTTTAATCCATGTCTTTAGTGTTATCGATTACAGTCTATTAGCGTGCGCTTGTTAAAATACCGTCTTGACTGCGAACAGCAAATAAAATTTTTTATCGGTCTATCTTGATTTGCGTTGCACTGTTTGATAAGTGTAAATACTCGCGAGTAGAAATTTATCAACCAGTTTTCAAACAAACGTTTGTCAAAAGGACCGAGTGGTGTACCTCAAAGCAATTTATTATTCTTTTATTTTGCATCTAAAATTGTAGGAAAATAGATGAGATTAGATATTCCATAACTTGTAGTTTGTTGATAAAATATGATATTAAAATCCCACGGAATGTCCACCGAAATCACGACTTCGGAACCCCGTATGTTTCGAATCCCTGCTTGGTAGTTCTTATCGTAGCGAATAAGTTTTTTCGATATCCAATTTGGTTAGTTTTCACAACTTCGTTCATGATTCATCATCAAGCCAACAAAGACATTTTCTCATAAATTTAGTGTACAATAGTAACTGTTCGTGAAGGCATCAAACTACATAAAATATGAAAATGACCAGTACTGAATATGTAAAACAGTAAGGATCATCAAAATTACCAATCATGGTTTGTCAGTCGTATGAACCTTTTGTTTTTTTTTCAAATAGTGAATAAATTATCCCTTAGGTATTTCCCGTCTCGTTTAATTTCCCTGTTCCCATCATATTTTTCGAAGTAGAGTAATTGGACTTACATACCGTTAAACCTAGTTAGTGGATTGATATACTACATATGACAATATAGTTAGCAGATCCCTAAGTTGGGTTCTAAGTACGAAGATGTACCTTATCACATCTGATGTTTTAGATGATGGTATTTGGTAACTGTAGGCTGATATTCCTCAAATAGTCTTTGGTTCACTTCAGAATTTTTTGTTAGGACTTTTGTAAGAAATACACGGAACATAATCTTATTCGTGAAAATAGAATATAAAATTCAACTACTGACCAAGTCAACAACCTAATGATAATATATCAGATTAATTCATTCTAACCGTGTTTTCACTTATTGTCTATTCTTATTATCCTATATATAAGCTTTTCCTGTCCGGTAGTGACGTTCACTATTTTTGTTAATCAGCTATGTAATTCGAAAAGTCAATAAACTTGCCTTTTACTCCTTATAGGTTGCACAATTTTCGGTATGAATGTCCAAAATAGAAATTTTTCGTAAAAATGTGACCTGAACACTTAACAAGTTGGGATTTTATTAGGTTTCTTATGCAAACGTAATGCTTATTTGCTGTCCTGACCGTCTGATTTATCTCTGTATTCAGTCGTAAACGTAGATGCTTGTTTTTCAGAACAACGTTGTTTAACAAGGTACTTCATATTTCTCTATAGGTTTTAGGGTGAATCTGCTGAATATACTCACAGTTGGCATTTTGGTATGTATAGGAACATTTTGCAAGGAACAATGCATCACCGTCTTCGGGATTCTTATCGTTTACGAACTTCATGTCGTTTATCAAGTAAGTTGTATTGTTAATTGTCAATATTTTTGCAGAAAATTTTATCAAATGGACATAACTTCTCGACTAATGGTGTCCAAAATACCAATTACCAAAAAAACAAAGCATTCAAAGATAGAATTCCATCTCTTTGTAAACAAATTCAGTTGAAGTTGTTTTCACCTGCGTGGTTTTCATATCCACTTGTCTACAGAATGTTCGTTCTTCTATTGTTTTTCATTGCCATATTAACTGCACGTATTCGAATAATGGGTGGACAATTGCCACATTTTACAGAGTATGTGGTAATTTTTATTATACATTTTTCTGTATTATTTTATAATTATCGCTCTTGCCTACTGCGTCTTTAATAAATCACATTTTTTAATAGTACATTGTTGATAGTAGTTTTCGACACACACTGTCCATGTGTACATAAATTTTTTATTTCAGTGAATAATTTTTAGAACGACACATATCAGCGAAAAATATTGTTTTCGATGAGATCGTCATCAGGCTTCACTTTAATATGCATGAATATTTATATTAAAAAGTTAAACCAGTCAAGTCAATTTGAGTCAACAATCACAATAAATAGAATATGTCACTACACATAATCCCGACCGTAGCTGCTACCCTGACGCTGTTGTCGGGCTTACCTATCGTGACGACTCAAACGAGCTATACTGGCTGGAACATATGTTCCTGAAGGTTCTATCATGCCAGGCAGGTCGGTTGGAGAAACGATGAGACTAAAAGCAGCTACTCAAGGTCTGAAGGGAGAAGTCGTACTGCCGACTGACTGCAGAGGGGTGTGACAGCAGTAAGGTGTTTCCCTCGGACAACCAGCATCTGCAGAGATGTTGCCTTCTCACAAGGAAGGAAGGAAGTGTTAGAAAATTTCGACCCTAGAAATGTCACACCTTACCCTATCTCACAGATTTCCGTCTCCTTGGGTTAGGGTGCCCAATAAGGGCTTTTAAGAGCGGAGCTAATACTCAACAAACCTTTAGTAAAAAAGCCGTGCGTGACCGGCCTCAAGCAGTTGTCCCTTGGGCTCTGTGGTCACGCAACCAGGTCTCTAAGACCAACTCTAATCTAACTTCCTTTTCAGGTTCCCCAAGAAACACCCTGCTATTGTGTGGGTAGCCTGGAAGTGACAACTGCCCTCATACCCGTAACAGCACGCGATGCCGAATCTGTCAAAATCAAATCCTCCCTACACCCACACATACCTCTCTTATCTCCACAACTAACCCTACTCACATTCCCTTACCTGACTGCACCGCTAATGCAAACGAAGCGAGTTCAAGAAACATCATTCCCGGTCTCTTGAAACCCCGTTCTAAACTACATGTTGGAGCTTTTAATGTACGGACATTGTGTCAAATAGGGCATCAGGCATCATTATCTAGGACTTTAGAATCTCGCTCAATCGATGTATGCTGCGTCTCGGAAACGCGCATACAGGATCCTAGTAAAATTATTAATCTGATTTCACCTTATCAAAATGAAGAAGAATCCCGATTTACTCTTCGTGTATCCGGCAGCCTCGATACTGCTTCCAGGGGTCTCGCTGGTGTAGGTATAGCATTGAGTCGTAGGGCAGAACTAGCGCTCCTAGACTGGATCCCTGTAGATAGTCATTTGTGCGCCGTCCGACTGAACGGGATAGTAAGGACTCGGAAAGATAGGGACACCCGTCGTTGCCTCTTCGTCGTATCTGCCTATGCCCCCACTGACTGCAGTTCAGACGAACTGAAAGATGAGCTTTACAAAAAGCTTTCGAACCTCCTCCAAAAAGCTAGGCGGTCGGATGTAGTAATAATGGCTGGTGACTTTAATGCTCAAGTAGGTAGACTAAGTGAGCAGGAGAGACACCTTGGTGGATGTTATGCTGTC